GAATTCAAACAGAGTTTCAAATTCAAGACCAGAATTGAATGCATTGCTTTTTTCTAGTTTGGCTTTTTTTACCTTAAATTTGACATTTACCTTGAATTCACTTTAGTGAATAACCATATAAAAGGTGTCTCTTAACCCAGTATGTAGAAATTTAGAGGACTTAGTGCTGGCCAAAATGGAAAATTACATATAAAAAAACAGATACACACGCACACACTGGCAAATACACACAGATACACGCACACACTGGCACATACACACAAATACACACGCACACACTGGCACATACACACAGATACACACACAGGCAGACACATAGACACACTGACAGACACACACACTGACATACATACAGAGACACGGACAGACAGACATACAGATACACAGACACACTGACAAACACACACACACACTGACAGACATACAGACATACATGCAGGTCAAAATATAGGAGCCACCCTCCTGTTTCCTACCATTTGCACGCTGGAAGATAGCTTCTGTTGTGTCCAGTTTGCAGGCTGAGTCCAGCTCTTGCAGCCTGCACCCCTCCACTCATGCCTTCTTCTCTGTCCTTCTCTCTCTGCCAGCCTGGCCCCCTCGTCACTGCCTCCTTGACCTCCTACGCGGCTCAACATCCCTGTGGGAGGAAGTGACAGACAGTCTCAGTCTCATGCTGTCGATAAGCGAGGGGCTCGGTCGCGTTGTTAAAAGGCCGCAGCTCCCGACCAGGCCCCTTGCTAACACATGCCCATCGTGTAGCCTAAGTACACAGGCCCCCTCATTGTGAGGGCTTTTGGCGGGCCGCATGTTGTGTGGTTCTGTTTTACAGTCATACAGTGATTTCTCTAGTATTGTAAAGAGAACTGTCTTATCCGTTCAGCGGTCTGGAACAGAGATATCATTACATTTCCAGTTTGCCAGTCAACATATGAGCTGGCTACACTGACTACCCTTGACTTTCAAATGTTTGGCTAAAATGCCAGAACTGAACAAATTCTTCAAGTCAGCCACAGTTTGACTACTTTGGTCTGAAATTCCTGAATCCCTGACAGTCCACACACTCTCAGCCAATAGAATCTTTCCAAATAGGGACAATATTAGTACCTAAAGTGGGATGATATTTAGCAATGTCCAAAAGATTACATGGACTGCAGGCACCTAGGGGAAACAAGTAAATGTTGCCGTATCCCCACTGATTGAAAATAGCCAATTGAAAAATTAGTTTATTTTCTTGCTTTTGTGTCTAGATTAAAGTTAACTCTCCTGTGATTTCAACTGAAATTGAGAAAAAGAGGTCGAAAAATGACTCTTACATTGCAGATTTTGCCTTTTCAATAATAATATGTAACACAAATGAATCTGTTTTGTTTGTGTATCTTTTCAATGAAATAAAAATCCAATGCAGGGCAAGACGGTTTTAATAAAAAAAATTCTGTTATATGTTATTTATATCTATCTGTCTTATATTATATGCACCCCACTATAAAATATGAGCATTGATCTCGCACCTGTAAGATAAAAAAAAATAAAAAAAAGAAAGCAAAATATAGTTTGCAGAGCTTGCAAGAACTTGTTTGTTTAATCATTAATGACAGGTACTAAAAAGAAGCTTAACATTGAACCACAATTCTCAGGATTTTTAATATTATGTTTAAATGTACAAATCTGCCCAGTTTTATCATCTCTATCCTGGAACTCCGTGCCTCTCAGTGCCTAGACTAGACTGGATTGTAAAGTGATTTGCTAATCTTTAAAATAAATTTAAAATAGAAGAGAGCAGCATATGGAAAATTGGTGAGCTTAAAGGGACACTATATTCAACAGAGCCATAACAGCTTAATGTAGTGGTTCTGGTGTCTATACCACACCTCAAGAGACAGACAATCAGACAGCCACTAGAGGTGCTTCATCTATCTCTATGTATCTCTATGAGCAGATGCTGACTGGCGCAGCATGGCGTTTTTATTTGGATTGGCTGAGATCGTCAAACAAATGTGTGATCTCAGCATATGGAGATCGGCGAGACTGGCGTTAGAGAAAAGGTGAGGGGCCTCAGACCTAAATAGTTAGTTTAACACAGTGATGGCGAACCTTTTTGAGCCCGAGTGCCCAAACCGCAATACATGACAACTTTTTTTCCTCAAAGTGCCAACACGGCAATTAAACCTAAATACTGAGGTTTAAGTTTAGAAAAAAAACTCATACAGTTGTCCGAACTAATTCTCCTCTTCTCTCCCCCCAGCATCTTCCCTTCTCTACCCACAGCATATCCCCCCTCTACCCTCAGCATCTCCTCCTCTCTCCTTCTCCCCCCAGCATCTCCTCCTCTCCCCTTTTCCCCCAGCATCTCCTCCTTCTCCTCTCCCCTCAGCATCTCCTCCTCCTCTACACCAGCATCTCCTCTTCCTCTCCCCCAGAATCACCTCTTCTTCTCCCTTTCTCCCCCCAGCATCTCCTCCTCCTCCGCCTCCCCCAGCATCTCCTCCTCCTCTCTCCCAGATTCTCCTTATCTCTCCTCCCAGCATCTCCTCTTCTCCCCCCCAGATTCTCCTTTTCTCTCCCCTTGGCATCTTCCCTTCACTACGCCCAGCATACCCCCTCCCCCAGTATATCCCCCTCTCCCTCCCAGCACATAAATAATGTATACAAATTTTTTGGTGCGGGTGGTGGTTTGAAGTCCACCCATGCTCCCTAACAGGTGGATCCAATTCCAGCGCCTGATTGACGTCATTTCCTGTCTCCCGGCGGCATCAGCAGAGGGCGCAGTGCTGGAACAGCACGTAAGTCAGTGCTCCCTCGCAGCCATCCATCCCAGTCACCCACCAACAATACGAAAGAAGAGTAGGCACCTGCCGTTTTGGGCAGGCAGGTGCCTACTCTGCATTGCCTCCTGGGGGGGGCCTAAGGTTGCCGACCGGCACCAGCAGTGCCCCCCTAAGGAGCGCAGGCCATGAGTAGCAATCCGGCGACCTATGGCTGTGTGCCCACAGAGAGAGCTCGGAACGCGTGCCATAGGTTCGCCATCACTGGTTTAACACTATAGAGTCAGGAATACATGTTTCTGTTCCTGACACTAACTTTCTTAAGTTATAGATGATTTATATATTTTTTTCCAATGGTGTAATTTACAGAGAAATTAGGGGTTACCCTTTAAAGAAACACTGTTGTTCTTCTTGCCTCATGGACTGTAGGGACATTAGCTTAGGGACTAAAATGGAACTTTACCTAAGACTGCCAAAAATCACATCCCCAATGAGTAAAAATTGGTACCAAATTTTTATTAAGCATAACTAGAAAAAGGTGAATGTTGAAAAAAACAAACAAAGGGAAACAGAGGATGGAAAATGATTAATTTAAAAACAAGACTTGCAAAATGACAGTGCCACTTTAAAGCAGCACTGTCATCCTCCCTTAAAAATTTAGCATTTCATAAAGATATAATCTTTATGAAATACTCATTGACTGTGTAGGATTTCACTGAAGTTCCAAACCAGTCAAGAGATATAAAAAGAGATGGAGCGCATCGGACAGGAGAGGCGGCCAATCTCCCAGACTGGAGTGACCCTGCTGCGTGCCACAGCATGCAGGCGTACAGCTACCTTTCCCCCTTTGGGCTGGTGGGGGTGATCCCGGTCCACCCCAGGGAGGCTATCCTGCCCTAACAGGCACTCTGGTTGAAGCCACAGGGGCCGATGGAGACTTGAGCGAGGTACCAAAAATGGCAGATGTCATGAGGCTCCCTGACCTACCCAAAGAAAAATCTGATCTCCAGGTTGAATATAATCTTTCAAAACTTCTGGCTGAAGCTGGAGAAAAGGATGCATGAAGATGCCCCACAGAAACTGAGAGGATACTCACCTCCTAGGCGGATTCCAATCCTGCAGCAGCAGTCTATAGTACCGGCTATGATAAAGGCCCCAAAATGGCGGTGAGTGAAGAGGCATCCATTGCACCGGTTTGCGTGCACCACGCAAGCGGGCACAGCTGCGCCATAGCTTTGGGTCTTCCAACGCTCCAGAGGTGGTGGAGGGGACCTAGACTCTGATGAGTGGCTTGGCCAATCCGGCCCACCACAAGGCTTAGAAGATCGCGCCATAACGCAGGACTATGCTCTGCCCCATTAGGGCATAGGTTGAGCTGGGCTGTATGGTGGAACTCTTTGGGACTGACGACCAATTACTATTTTTCCTCGTATCTGCTTTTATAGATTACTTTCTTTTTATTATTATTATTATTATTATATATGTTTTAACACTAATACAGTCAGATGTCAAGCCTAACACATACCTTCTAGTGCCTCTGCTGACTACGAATAATGCATACTCTCTTACTAAAAATATTTAAAAAGTGCGCTGTCTCCTGGAAGCCGCACTGTTTACTATTATATGTAATACCTATGCATTCTGATGCTGCTCTGGCGAAGCAAGCTTGTATTTTTATATGTGCACAACAAAAATAATTATAAAAAATAAATAAAAGGGACACACCATTGCCCAAAAACAAAAAAATCAATAAAATGGACATCACGGTTTGGTAGATAAACAATGACAATGTGCATGCATTTTTTTACACTTTTTTTTTTCCATTGGAGTTATATATCTAAAACAGCTTTCTAAAGCTGCAGCCTTGGTAAGCCCTCCCCTTCTAGCCCCGCCCAGCCTTTCTGTGGCTGTCCAATCACAGACTTCCCAATGCAGATCAATGAGAAGTCTTTGCAAGGCAGGTGCTCTGGGCAATTGCTGCCTCTTGGAGTTTAGCTCCACTGTGACAGCAAGCTATAGGGGTTTATGTGCTCCCATTTCCCTCCCATCTCTGACTTGGCTGAGGAGACACAGACAGGGGGCGTGGTCAGTGACAGGCTGCGGTTTGAGTGACAGCGCAGCTGCTTCCTGCAGTGCCCGCCCCGCCCCCCTGCAGAAACCCTTGGCAACCCGTGACGCAGCTGTCTCGATCGGCCCCGCCCTGCGGCCGCCACAAACCCTTTACCGCGCGTGCGCTCTGTCGCCCCACCCCCTCCCCACACTCCGGACTGGGAGTGCAGTTGGCGGCGCCATGGCGCATGCGCACAGTGTGTGTGGGAGGCAGCCCTGAGCAGCGAGCAGACCGGGCAGCAGCAGCAGCCGGGAGTACAGCGAGCTCCGCTGGACCTGCAGTGAGTACCGGCCCGTATGGTCAGCATTCCTTCCCCGGCCAGCCGCACTGTACCAGGGGGGGGTGTATGGTGTGTGGTACCAGGGATGCAGCTCCACCCACTCCCGTTATCCTGCTCCCCTCCGCCCTGCTGCTCTATATCCCCTTCATCACCGAGAGCCAGAGCACGCAGGGTTAATCACTGAGAGCCAGAGCACGCAGGGTTAATCACTGAGAGCCAGAGCACGCAGGGTTAATCAGTGAGAGCCAGAGCACGCAGGGTTAATCAGTGAGAGCCAGAGCACGCAGGGTTAATCAGTGAGAGCCAGAGCACGCAGGGTTAATCAGTGAGAGCCAGAGCACGCAGGGTTAATCACTGAGAGCCAGAGCACGCAGGGTTAATCACTGAGAGCCAGAGCACGCAGGGTTAATCACTGAGAGCCAGAGCACGCAGGGTTAATCACTGAGAGCCAGAGCACGCAGGGTTAATCACTGAGAGCCAGAGCACGCAGGGTTAATCACTGAGAGCCAGAGCACGCAGGGTTAATCACCGAGAGCCAGAGCACGCAGGGTTAATCACTGAGAGCCAGAGAATGCAGGGTTAATCAGTGAGAGCCAGAGCATGCAGGGTTAATCAGTGAGAGCCAGAGCACGCAGGGTTAATCAGTGAGAGCCAGAGCACGCAGGGTTAATCAGTGAGAGCCAGAGCACGCAGGGTTAATCGCTGAGAGCCAGAGCACGCAGGGTTAATCAGTGAGAGCCAGAGCACGCAGGGTTAATCGCTGAGAGCCAGAGCACGCAGGGTTAATCAGTGAGAGCCAGAGCACGCAGGGTTAATCAGTGAGAGCCAGAGCACGCAGGGTTAATCAGTGAGAAGTCGCTGAGAGCCAGAGGGTTAATCAGTGAGAGCCAGCACCAGGGTTAATCACTGAGAGCCAGAGCACGCAGGGTTAATCACTGAGAGCCAGAGCACGAGGTTAATCGCACTGAGAGCCAGAGCACGCAGGGTTAATCAGTGAGAGCCAGAGCACGCAGGGGTTAATCACTAGAGCGAGACGAGGGTTAATCACCATTGAGCACGCAGGGTTAATCACTGAGAGCCAGAGCACGCAGGGTTAATCGCGAGCACGCAGGGTTAATCACCGGAGAGCCAGAGCACGCAGGGTTAATCACCGAGAGCCAGAGCACGAGGGTCAATCACCGAGAGCCAGAGCACCCAGGGTTAATCACCGAGAGCCAGAGCAACGCAGGGTTAATCAACGGTGAGCCAGAGCACCCAGGGTTAATCACCGAGCCAGAGCACGCGAGGGTTAATCAACGGCGAGCCAGAGCACGCAGGGTTAATCGCTGAGAGCCAGAGCACGCAGGGTTAATCACCGAGAGCCAGAGCACGCAGGGTTAATCACCGAGAGCCAGAGCACGCAGGGTTAATCACCGAGAGCCAGAGCACGCAGGGTTAATCGCTGAGAGCCAGAGCACGCTGAGAGCCAGAGCACGCAGGGTTAATCGCTGAGAGCCAGAGCACGCAGGGTTAATCGCTGAGAGCCAGAGCACGCAGGGTTAATCACTAAGAGCCAGAGCACGCAGGGTTAATCGCTGAGAGCCAGGGCAGGCAGGGTTAATCGCTGAGAGCCAGGGCACGCAGGGTTAATCGCTGAGAGCCAGAGCACGCAGGGTTAATCACTAAGAGCCAGAGCACGCAGGGTTAATTACTGAGAGCCAGGGCAGGCAGGGTTAATCACTGAGAGCCAGGGCAGGCAGGGTTAATCGCTGAGGCCAGAGCACGCAGGGTTAATCGCTGAGAGCCAGAGCACGCAGGGTTAATCGCTGAGAGCCAGGGCACGCAGGGTTAATCGCTGAGAGCCAGAGCACGCAGGTTAATCGGTGAGAGCCAGGGCACGCGGGGTTAATCGGTGAGAGCCAGGGCACGCGGGGTTAATCGGTGAGAGCCAGGGCACGCGGGGTTAATCGGTGAGAGCCAGGGCACGCGGGGTTAATCAGTGAGAGCGGTTAGTGAGGGCCAGGGCATGCAGGGGTTAAATAGTGAGGGCCAGGGCATGCAGGGGTTAAATAGTGAGAGCCAGGGCATGCAGGGTTAAATAGTGAGAGCCAGGACCCGTAGGGGTTAATTACTGGGTACCAGTGGCTGCAGGTTAATTACTATGTACTATTACGTGCAGGGTTAATTACTGAGTGGCAGCTGAAGGGTTTGCTACTTAAGTGGGGCTGATATTGGCATGAATGGCTCCTTCCGCAGATATCCTTTAGGTTCTATGGTGCCAGTAATATAAATTACTCTACCAGTGCTTGTAGGGTTAATTGCTATGCATGTATGCTTTAAAGCTTTACTTATTCTTATGGGTTAATATCTATCCAATTGTTAGTGCCTATAGGAAAAATATCTGTGTATCAAAACTTAGAATTTCTAGTACTAAATGGTCAATTTCTATTGTATTATTTACTATGTACAAGCTCTCTAAATGGTTCCTTAACCTCAAATTTGTTGTATATCAATGCCTGCATTTAAAAAAAAAAAAAAAAGCTAAAAACATTTAAATACATATTGGTTTGTGAGTGTTCATGTTCTCCCAGCATTTTGTTGTATATAAATATTTAATAAACTGTGATTGCAGATATTACGTTTGCCCATCCATGATGGGTAAATTTTACTACAGTCTGTTACTGGGTATCTATCTCCCTAACAGGTTAACTACTTGGTATCAATCCCCTTAATGGGTTAATTTTGCTAGTCATTTACTGGCTTCTATTGACAGTGGGATAATGTTTCTACTGTCAATGGTTAGCTGTGTATCAATGCCAAATTATCCATAATCCCTCAGGCTTTTTGTGTAAAATTCATGCAGGTTTGCTCTTTATTGAGGTGGTAGTGTAATGCTGCTCTGAGTGTTTATTAGAAAGACATGCTCCTGGGTAACACTGACCTTCCAGGACATATTTTGCTTAAGTAAAATGAGTGATCTCACCATGTGCAGCAATTCCGTGGCAACATGCAAAATGTGGAAATGTGAGTAGAGATCCTACAAGTTTCCATGACGATTGCTCCTCTTTCTGCACTTTATTCTAGAATCGAGCTGTATCCATGGTCCATGATCTGTGTAATTATTGTGCATTCCAGCAGACCTGTTACACAGTGCTGTATCTCTGTGCTGCAAGCCCTCATCCAGGCTATTGTGGTTTTTCTTATCTCCTTTTCTCACTAACCACATGCCACCAATTAAATCACTGGGAGTTCTATATATCACAACCTCCCCCCAACAACTTCATGAATCATCTGTTTCCAAACATTAATTTTCATAATGAGCTCATGTTTATCTCCCCTTAACCTTTACAGTGCCTCTTCCTTTCTCTGTGGGATGGATTACTCCAGGCCGTCTCCTATGTTAATATTTTTAATGTTTGTGTTATTTTATACAACTCCTGAAAAGCTGTTGGCAAACACTTTGCGCATAAAAGGGTTAACCTGTTTAACTATTTCCCATGTAAACAGTTTATAAATGTGCTGACAGTCTATCATATTGTTGTTCTGTCATCATGGCTGGCTTTTTTTTTTTACCCTTCCATGACAAGTGGTTGGCCAAAACTCAGTACAGTATATCATGATGGACTTGATCACAAAAGTGTTAGTCCTTGGATCTGGGCTGTTTACATGCCTGTTATAATACTTTACAACGTATTTTCGCTGTCATATATCTCTATTTGTATGGTATTTGACAGCTTCATTGTTTTGAACCAGCTTGGACAATGATGGCTTTTAACATTTGCAACTCAAGCCTTTGTGCATCACTAACTTTTTTTTTTTTAGGTCTGTTTGACTTTTTCATGTGTATATTCAGAGTATAGAACTTTAGACTTCCAGTTGCTGGACTATATTTTTCAACTATCATACAAATGTGTCACAGACACAACTAAAGGGAACCCTTTCCCCTGGATTCCACTGAATTGGCTGTGATGATGTAGTTGTTCAGTTTCTCTGAGAAGCTGAACCAGAAATGAACAGGTATCTAACCTGGATCCCATTTAGAGAGCACCAAGAAAAGCCTCAGATCAAGATATTATTCCATAGTGCTACAGGTAAGATGAGGCTGGAGCAGAATGTAAGAGCCAAAATTCTGACAGGTCTTTTGTCAAAGTGCTCATCAGCATATTTTGGACATCACACCACAGCCCCCTTGTTTTCTTCAGTGTCCTGCTAAAAAATAAAGCTAACCTATTAAATTTGTTATATTGAGGCATTTTTCTGGCGCTTCCAATATTGGATCTGGTTATATTTGTTATCAAGCTAGCCTTTTTATTGTGAAACCCGTGTGTGGTGTTGTTTTTACTGTGCTTCTTGTTAAGGCAAAGCTAAAATACTTCTACTTTCTTGAAATCTGTGCTTTTATTATGCCCAGGCCCACCACAACATTCTTGATTTTATTTCTACATCTATACCATGGTTAGATATTTGACGGTTAGATATTTGACCGTTAACTATAAGCTGGAGACCTGTAGTGAGCAAACAGGCATTCAGAATCTGCAGTTCAATTTAAAGGGACACTGTAGTCACCAGAACCACTACGGGTTAATGTAATCCTCAGTTCTATAGCCTGTCTCTGCAGGCTTTTCAATATAAATGCTTCCTTTTCAGAGAAAAGGCAATGTTTACATTGGTGCCTAGTAATGCCTCCCAGTGACAGCTACTCAGATGCCACTAGAGGTGCTTCCTTGTCCAACGCTGCAGCACTGGCATTCAGCTTAACATTCCCCATAAAGATGCATTGACTCAATGCATTTCCAAGAGGAAATGCCGGTTGGTCAGCACTGCATTTTGCAATGCATGCACAGTAGCCTCAAAGCATTGGATTGGCTAATATTATCAAGATTGATCTCAGCCATAGAGGCGGGACCAACCGCAGCAAGACTGTCATGGCGTGGATGAAAAGATGAGTAAAAGCACTTATTTTCTGATATCTGAGGGGGCCGGTCACCTTAACAGCCCATTCAGGGCAGTAGTATCAGGAATACTTGTTTTTATCCCTGACACTAAAGTGTTCCTTTAATACCTCCTGTAGGATTGCTAAAGTCCAACTACTGGTCCGGTTTCTGGTTGGGATATTACCTATTGTTTACTTTTCTTCCCTCTTTGACACTGGACCACGTTGTTTCTGTATCGTACCATGCGTAACTTTATACTCTGTGCCATTGTTCTTTCTTAGTTCTCATCTTACCCCCTACTGGGCTTTTTTTTTTTTTTCCAGACACTTCCTCCTGCTTGCTACCTCCTTCTGTTTGTGTATCATAAATATTTAAGTTTATTATTTTAACTTTTTTTTTTTGGTAATTTGATAACTTTCTTTTGGATTCCAGTACCTCCTATTCTAATGACTAAGATAATGACTTCTTCCTCTGATCTCACCACTCTCATTAGTATATGAGCAAAACCCATATGAAGGTTTATAAAGTGTTGTAAACAGGAAAGTAGAAATGTGTGTGTGTGTGTGTGTGTGTATGTATGTGTGTGTATATATATATATATATATTTTTTTTTTTATTATTTTTTTATTGTGCTTGCCTCATACTTTTTTTGATAATTGTAAAACCAATAAAAAAAACCTCTCAAGTACAGGGTATGACAAGTGAGAATTGTCAGGAATTTCAAGTAAATTTAAAATTTAATTCCAAAATGGACAATTTTAAGCATAACTGTTTTGGCCTTAAATTTGAAATTCACTTAAAATTCTGTTGGAATGCCTGACAATTCTTACTTGGGATAGAAGTATCTCTTCACTCCACTGAGCGCTAATACTCTGTGCTACCATCGATGTTTTGCAACATGTTCATTTCCATTGTTATTTTTAAATGTTTTTTGTTTTTTGACTCTGCACATGCAATTCTTCTCTAAATATTGCTGCCGATTTTTTTACTTGCATTGACAAATTTATAGCACATGAACAACTGCAACGGTTGTATCTCCTGTTTTTTCCACTGTGAAAGACTTCCATTAGTCTCAAATGTGCTTCTTCTTAAAGGACCACTATAGTGCCAGGAAAACATACTTGTTTTCCTGGCTCTATAGGGTCCTTTGGTCCCCCTCCCGCCGGGCTCTAGGGTGAGGAAGGGGTTAAATTCCTACCTTTTTTCCAGCACCGGGCTCCCTCGGCACTGTGGAATCTCCTCCTTCTTCTAGCGTCATCAGCTGAATGCGCATGCGCGGCAAGAGCCGCGTGCGCATTCGGCCAGTCTTATAGGAAAGCATTCTCAATGCTTTCCTATGGATGCTGGCGTCTTCTCACTGTGAAATTACACAGTGAGAAGCGCGGATGCGCCTCTAGCGGCTGTCAATGAGACAGCCACTAGAGAGGCTGGATTAACCCATTTGTAAACATAGCAGTTTCTCTGATTACCAAAAAAAAAAAGAAGTTCTCTGAAACTGCTATGTTTACAGCAGGCAGGGTTAATCCTAGATGGACCTGGCACCCAGACCACTTCCTTAAGCTGAAGTGGTCTGGGTGCCTATAGTGGTTCTAATATTACATTGAATGCTCCCAGCATGCCATTCCTATGATGTCCCTATTTCACTGATTATGTTAGCTTCCTGCATCTTTATTCAATATAAAGTCTTTGCCCTCGCCTATAAAGTACTCCACCCTTCTACCCCAAATAAGATATCCTTTGTCCATCGTGAACAATTTTAATCTATCAATCAAACCTGGTATGGATTTTTGATACCCCTCAGTTCACATCCACCCATTTAACTATTGTTTTCAGTAGTTTACCCATGGCTGCCATATTCTTATTTTCTCACTGGCCTTATCAGGCATTGTTTTAGTTTCCAAACTTAAAAATCCACTAAGCTAGTGGAATCTGCCAAAGTACTACGGAGTAATTTCTCTCCCTGACATGGTCTTCTACTGTCCCACACAAAATAAATATGGAAAGATATTCACAGCTTTCCTAATGAAATGTAATGTTTGCTGGTAGTCTGGTGGGGATTATTGACTCCCTCATATCACAATTTGACAAGAAAACAGATTCTCATCAGTGTAACTTTGCTATATTCAACCATATATTAAAGTGGACATTTAAACTTTGGACACCTGAAGTTACTTAAGCTTGACTAAAGACCCAGGTGTCAAAATGTTGGCAGCTTCATTTCTCTTCATAGAAAACGGTGTAAAAGAACACAGAGAATGGACAAAAGCTTGCCCTTTGGTTTCTTCCCATCTAAATCCCAAACAAGTATAATGTCACTGGTTTCAAGTTACACAACCTGTTCTCCCACTGTCTATCATAGAACTGCTACTGTGTACGTCATACTTTATTTTATTTTTTTTGGTGCATGAATGCATTTTTTTTTTTTTTTATACATTTTCTTTTGCGTAACTTGACTCCACTGCAAACTTATTTGAACAGAAACCCTATCACATCTTGTTGCTGTTTACTTGCATCCATTTTTATGTACGTGTATGTTTTTACTTACATACATATTTAAGAAGACTGTCCTTCCCTGACCCTCTTAATGTTATTCCACATCTTCCTTGATTTACATTAAGTGACACAGAATTCTGGGAAACATAGTAAATCAAGGGACATTGGTTGATACCACTGTGTATATATCTTTGGTATTGCTTATTATTTCCATAGCCCAAGGCTAATATAAGAGGAACTTTTTTTTTTGTGAGGAAAATATTTGTTTATCAGAAACTTACTTTTAGTAATTCTGCATTTTTCATCTTGTGCTGTATAAAATGACTTTTCAGCATATGCTGTGCTTTTCTCATGGTTTTGAAAGCAGCGAATTTGGAGAAGTTTTTTATTTTATTTTTACTTTGTATGAGGACTGAGCTATTTGTCCTTTACATATTTACTCTGCAAGCTGGGATAATGTCTCTGCCTTGGAGAACAGATGGTGGGAGGTTGGTCACACTCAATACCATTCATCCTTTTGCATTTTTGTATTCTCTAAAGAATCCTTTGTTTAAAGGTTTAATTGGGGGAGGGGGGGGCTTATGGCCCCCTATTTGTGGAATAACTGATGTATGCCTGTGCACTGTGCACCCATTTTTAATGAAGTGGCCCTATCCCTGCTTTTGAGGATACAGTGTGCACAGGTCCCTTGAAATACTGATTTTTGAGACTTTTATTGCGTGATTTCAAGCTTATGTGTATCTTTGTTTAAGTGAATGTGGCTTGTTCTTCTTGTGTAAAACCTAATGTATGCAATAATATCTGTAATTGTTTTTAACTATAATTATGTAATAAAATTGCTAGGTTCATGTTCAATGAGAAATGTGTAAATATTGAAGTTCTTTCATGTTCACAATTTAACTATGCATGTCCACACAAGAAAACCCCTTTTGCTTGCTTTATTTAGTTCTTTATTGAAAATTCTTATCTTTAGCAAACAAAGATTGAAAAGCAGGAAAACATATAGGAACTGACTACTACATGGGTTAAGTAGAACTAATATTTTTTGAGTGTGTAAACAGGGCTGCAAGCTTGTTTGAGCAGGGTTCTCCTCAACCTGTAATGGTCTTATTTTATTGTTAAATTTCCCTATTTTTATTACATTGTGAAGCTCTGCGAAATAACTTTATAAATGGTGATGATATTGATGATGATAATGGGTTGAGTTGTTAAATTTGGAATTAAGAAAGAAATAGTTTAATATTTCCAAAAAAGAGAGCAAATTAAGCCTGATTTAGGGTAAATATTATTTTGCTTGCAACTTGGCTTCTTAGTAACGGTTTGTAAAATTTAGATTTTGAGAGCAGTTTCTATTGGAGTAATCGGTTTCTGGCTAGGTCAGCAAGTGGATCCAATTTGAATGTGTAATATTTTCCCCAGAACTCATTGAAGTCTTCTTTCTTTGGAGACTCTGATTGCTATCACTGATATATTCTAGCATGTGTGTGGGAATACACCATTTGCTTCTTTGAAAGTTCTTGTATGATGTCCGATGAGATTTTGGAGCAAGTGAACAAATGATCACTAGACTCATCTTGCTCAAAAAACTACCATAGCCATTTAATGGGATAAATGCCTGTTACAGCAGCTGTAAATGTTTGACAGCTGCCGTAAAATGGAAGGTTTAGCAATTGATATACTTATTAAGCATCCAGAACCCATGAAAATTATAAACCTATTTTGTCTTTGGCTTATATTTTTAAACAAAATTTACATTAAATGCTTTTTAATATAATTTTATTTTAATATTGTAATGTGACTTATCTTTAAAGCAGATGTTTAACAAATCATACTGGCAATTCAATTTGTTGTTTTGTGTGTTTTCCTTCTCTTTTTTCCCCCCCTCCTCCTTTTTCTCTATTTTCCTCAAATTGTCCCTAAACAATTTAAAATAGAACCCATTGATTGTAGGCTCTCTAGAGCTATGTAATGGTCATGTTGCTTTGAGTGCCTTTTTTAATTCTGATCTAAAAACACCGGGAATCCTCGTCTAAATGTATTGAGTCAATTGTCCTGCTTTGAAGAAAACTTTTTGTTTAGTCTAGTGGACTTTGAATTCTGTATAGCTACCGTGTTTCCCCGAAAATACACCCTACCCCGAAAATAAGCCCTAGCTGAATTTTCAGGGTGGGCTGCAATATAAGCCCTACCCCGAAAATAAGACCTAGGCATTGTACCTTTCGGCCCGGCGGGACTTCCTTCTTCTATGAGGAGGAGGAGGAGCGTTGCAGGCTGCGGCATCGCGCAACGTGATGACGACGTGCGCAGCGTCGTCAGTCTGCCTTCACGGATCTTCAGCGGAAGGATCCATTTCCGGGCGGTGAGGCACCCAGTGGTCGGACTCGGCGGGCAAGGAAGGCATCTTTGAAATGTGAGTAGATATTTTATGTCTGGGACTGAATTAATTAAAGGAGGCGGTGAATTAATTAAAGGGGGGGCTGGATTAATTAGAGGGGGGTGGATTTATTAAAGGGGGGTTGGATTAATTAAACGGGGGGTGGATTTATTAGAGGGGGTGGATTTATTAAAGGAGGGGTGGATTTATTAGAGTGGGTGGATTAATTAGAGGGGGGTGGATTAATTAGAGGGGGGTGGATTAATTAAAGGAGGGGTGGATTAATTAAAGGAGGGGTGGATTAATTAAAGGAGGGGTGGATTAATTAAAGGAGGGTGGATTAATTAGAGGGGGCTGGATTTATTGGGGGGGTGGATTTATTGGGGGGGTGGATTAATTAAAGGAGGGTGGATTAATTAAAGAGGGGTGGATTAATTAGAGGGGGTGGATTTATTAAAGGGGGGTGGATTAATTAAAGGGGGGGTTCAATGTACATACCGGTACCATAAATAAATAAGCCCTACCCTGAAAATAAGCCCTAGTGTGTTTTTTGGCACTAAAATTAATATAAGACCCGGTCTTATTTTCGGAGAAACACGGTATGTTCTTTTTTTAATAGAGCTCTATCTTTTCTCTCTGCTTCTAACGACTGCAGTACCATGACATTCACAAATATGTTAAAGGAAGTTAAGGCAGATTTAAACTGCTCAATTTGACATCACAAAACAAAAAGTACCAAAGGCTATGGTACTTTCAGTGAAACTTGGAGGCACAATTTTACATATCCATTTGTTATTGGTGTGTTTTTTGTTAACGAGGGAATGTAATGTCACACACAGTACCTCCCTCCTCCCCCCATTATGCTTAAACTGTGTTTAAGATTTAAATCAAAGGATAAGTGTGATACACGTTACAAGAACAAGAAAATATGTAATATAAAAGAAGGGGATTTTAAGTGTGTCTCGTTTTTTTTTTAAGTGTGTCTCTGTCCCATTTGTGTTGTTACCATATGGCACCAGATGTAAAGTAACTACAGCAATTAAATCCCATAAGGCTCAGTGATGGCTTGTGCCATCTAAACAATTCCTTAAATACCTTATTTTGGGGTTGACACATTTTTCACTCACTGCAACACTTATGAAACACCACTTCAGACATCCAAAGGTGTTGAGTTTATTCCTTAACAGGTGACTCCTGTGATTATTTCACTGGATCTTTTATAGATGGTTTTTATTGAATTACAATTTACCAATGAAATCACTGCAAGCAGTGAGATGTATGTCAGGTAAGGCACCATTTTTTATTTTTTTATACCCATTCAAACATCAGGTTCTCTTCATGTTCAACCCTATGTTAAATCCTTCTGAGGTCAATAATATTGGACATTTGAGTTGGGCAATATAATTTAAATCTTGGGAATTGCTTGGAACTCAGAGAGAAAATTAAATGTTTAAAGCGACACTATAGTCACCAGAACAACTACAGCGTATTGAATTTGTTCTGGTGAGTAGAATAATTACCTTCAGGCTTTTTGCTGCAAACACTTTCTTTTCAGAGAAAATGTAGTGTTTACATTACAGCCTAGTGATAACTTCACTGGCCACTCCTTAGAACACTAGAAGAACACTATGGGGTGGGGGTGGGTGGTGTGAAGAACACTATGGGGGTGGGGTGGAAGTAGGTGGTGAAGAACACTATGGGATGGGGGTGGAAAAACACACTATGGGATGGAGGGTGGTGAAGAACACTATGGATGGGGTGGTGGGTGAAGAACACTATGGGATGGAAGGGATGGTGGTGGTGTGAAGAACACTATGGGATGGTGGTAGTGGTGAAGAACACTATGGATGGTGGTGTGGAACACTATGGGATGGGGTGGTGGTGGTGTGAAGAACACTCATGGGATGGGGTGGTGGTGGTGTGAAGAACACTATGGGATGGGTGGTGGTGGTGGTGAAGAACACTATGGGATGGGGGGTGGTGGTGGTGTGAAGAACACTATGGGATGGGGGTGGTGGTGGTGTGAAGAACACTATATGGGGGGTGGTGGTGGGTGTGGATATGGGATGGGGGTGGTGGTGGTGTGAAGAACACTATGGGATGGGGGTGGTGGTGGTGGTGGTGTGAAGAACACTGGGATGGGGGTGGTGGTGGTGGTGGTGAAGAACACTATGGGATGGTGTGGTGGTAAAGAACACTGGGATGGAACACTATGGGATGGGGGTGGTGGTGTGAAGAACACTATGGGATGGGGTGGTGGTGGTGTGGGGGATGGGATGGTGGGGTGGTGGTGGTGTGAAGAACACTATGGGATGGGGGTGGTGGTGGTGTGAAGAACACTATGGGATGGGGGTGGTGGTGTGAAGAGGTGGTGGTGGTGGTGTGAAGAACACTATGGGATGGGGTGGTGGTGGTGTGAAGAACACTATGGGATGGGGGTGGTGGTGGTGTGAAGAACACTATGGGATGGGGGGTGGTGGTGGTGTGAAGAACACTATGGGATGGTGGTGGTGTGTGAAGAACACTATGGGATGGGGGTGGTGGTGGTGTGAAGAACACTATGGGATGGGGGGTGGTGGTGGTGAAGAAACACTATGGGATGGGGTGGTGGTGGTGTGAAGAACTACTGGATGGGGGGGGTGGTGGTGGTGTGAAGAACACTATGGGATGGGGGGGGTGGTGGTGGTGTGAAGAACACTATGGGATGGGGGGGGTGGTGGTGGTGTGAAGAACACTATGGGGTGGGGGGTGTGAAGAACACTATGGGGAGGGGGCACTAAGATAGATAAGGGGTGGGGAGGAGGAGAATTCCTACCGCATATATTTTCACACACACACTCTATCCACTACACACATTGCATTCACTACAAACACACACACAACACTGCATTTACTAACCAAAAGCTGTCACTGCATAATATTCTTGAAAACATAAAAATCTGACTGGCATGTATATTTTGTGCATTTACCACTTAACCCCTTAAGGATACATGACCTGTGTGACATGTCATGATTCCCTTTTATTCCAGAAGTTTGGTCCTTAAGGGGTTAAAAAAAAAAATTGCAAAAAAAAAATACGGTAAATGTACAGAATGTCGGTAAGCTATTGGCCTGAAAGTTCACAGATTATCGGTATCGGCTCTAAAAAAAATCAATATCGGTCGATCCCTATCTTTAACACCACAGATTTAAAGGGACACTGTAGGTACTATAATTAAATGAGCTTACATTATTAGTTATAGTGTCTGGAGTCCCCTGGCAGTGTCTCTCCATTCAGTGTTAAACCGTTTCAGACAGTTTAACACAAAGTTAGGGTCTCTGGCTTCCCATAGCCCTGCCTCTACTGGAGGTGTGGCTAAGGCAGAGATAACGCACTTCCTTGTAGCCATACCGATACATACCTGCAATGGCACTGTGATAGGCTGAATGCAGTCAGCTGATACTCTGACCATAACAACCACCCATTGCAACAGGTTAACACTTACTCATTAGTCCAAGCAGAGGAGATGGGCTGCAAGTGACTTAAACATAACACACATTTCAATTCTGAATGGGAGGACCGCATCAGGGGACTCCATTGCTATAACCACTTCAAGCAGATGAAGCAGTTACGGTGCCTACAGTGTCTGTCTTTTATTGGAAGTTTTTTCTGCAGTTTTGTGCATTAGGTAAACCAAGACAGATCATGTGGCAGATCTCTTTACTCTTCTTTGTTAGCACAGATAGCTGTGCCTGGCGGCAGGAGAATATTTAAACAGAAAAGTGCGTAAGAGGAGACTATTTAACGTCCAAGAGAGACAGTTTGTGTCAGTGGGGCACCCAGATTCCCTAGATTTGTTAAGCCATTTATATAATAGCTCCAAGTCCCCAGTCATTTCTGCAATAGATTAACATGTACACTATGTCTATATCTGAACTTTGATGCCATGAATACCAACCATTGTACCCCAGACATTTCTGAACTATGGGTACATTAAAGGAGAGTGTTGTTGTGAAAAATGGTGTAGTGCTCTACAAGCGGTGATGGTAACTACCTCCCGCAACCCCTCGCCAAGCAAAAACACAGGGTGGCTAGCCAAGGTTTATGAGACATCTTGTAATTTGGCAACTGTTGGGTGTCTGGTATTGGGCATCCCCTAAAGCTTTTTCAGTCCATTAGTGCCTGTCTGTCCTTAAACTACACAACAGCTGAAAAATGTAATACCCCAAAAATCATAGGAAAAAAAAAAAAAATCACACAGGCAGAGAATGTGATCACATTACTGTTTTCCTAACTAATCATTTTACATTCAGGTGAAAATGCCTTGACCCTCAACCTGCCCCCAACCTTTGCTGTAATGCAAGGAGTTTAAACATGAATAAAGTGTAATTAATACTCTGTCATTAAGCTTACACTTTAAAGATAACTATTAGATACTTTATTATAAATAAAGCAATAAAATATATATTTTTTTAATATTAGATATTAAACTTATGCATCTCGGTGGCAGCAGAAGAGCCAGACATTGGGTACCCAGACTTTTCTCTGAAGAAAGGCTTGACACAGAAAATAATGGGGTAGACAGCACCCAACACATCCTGTAACCACTACAATAAAACATAGTGGTGCATATGGTGCCTTTAAAGTGTATAGTGTTCCACTGTGTTTAATTGAGACAATCACTCGTACCCTCTCCTTTGTTGCCTCTGGTCTCAATAAACCTCAGGAAAAATATATTTTCATTATTGGTTACAAAAGTGTGAATTGCAAAGAATTGAAAATGAATAACAAGTTATAGGTGAAAACTGAAGTGGAAAATTTTGCCACTGCGGTTTTTAGTTCACAAATTTTGGCCTTAAAATGTAACTTCATTGTGAATTCCTGACAATTCACACTTCAGAGAATAACCATGCACACCTGCACTGTGAAATAGAAACTATGTGCCTGCTTTTGAAGTGAAAGGCTTTACCTTCCTGTTAAAACTGTGACCTGCTAAATGTGGTGACTAAGTGTTAACTGTGGGCGTTCTACGTTCAACTGTTGAATTTCTGCCCTGTGTATATGTGACTTTTAAGGACACTATTAAACATCTGCTGTTATAGTAAATGTTTATAGCTTGCTGTTTAGACTTGACTTTCCATTGTTTGAGGTTTTAGAATACAGGGCTTCCCGATAATCTTCTCCACCCCAATAAAAGTTAGGGTTCTGCGTAGATGTAACATGCACATTTTAATATACTTTTTATATTACACTTCGTCTGTCCTGGGTTTGCCCCAGTGCAGTATACTTCTGAACATCAAATTGAGCAAATTAGTTCTCATTCAAAAAATGGGTAATTGCAATGAGTTGAAAAATGTAAGCTCAAGTGAGCTAATTGATGATGCTAATTAAAGATGCACTGTAATTGGAATTAAGTTGTTGTGGTGCCAGGAGGTCCCTGCTGCTGGCTTACATTTAGGGGGTTAAAAAGTTCTGAGATTCTTGGCTGTCCGAGGGTTCCTCTTTCAAGAATCTCAGGAAAGACGAAGGACAGGGGCAAAGCTAAATGGTGCTCGATTCAAGACTTTGTAGTCAAACTGTTCATAAACAGTGCCCTCAAATGTGGCTTTCATTTCACCCCAATTCCCTATATTGCGAATAAACCCAGTGAAGGTGATGCATTACAACAGTTAATTGTATATATTGTGGAATCTATAAACAGATTCTGTTAAAATTCTCAAAACATTATTCAAGTGTATGGAATTATTTTTTTTTTTTTTTTTTTCTAAATTGGGAGCCAAATCAACTCGTCCCTCATGACAATCTACTTGTTGTGGCACAAAATAATTTTAATTTCAAATATTAGGGACCCCTGCCTGCTGAGAGCCCTGTACATTGAGAAAGTTATTTGATTAAACTTGAAATTTTCATAAATTAAAGGGTTACTCCGCCCCTGTTAAAAACAAATTGATTTACATACAGACTCCTGTCACCATGACCACTTCAAATCACTGAAGTGGTTGCTGTAACCCTTTTTGTTTTTTTAAGAACTAAATATTTATGGGAATAACTGTTCCCTTAAAAGTTTAAAAGCGATTATTTACCTTGTTTCCTGCTCGAACACCTCTGCTGCTGCTGCCCTTTCCTAGTTTGAAGACGTTGGCATGCCTGCTGATATTTTCCATGATCTGCTCCAATCTAATACTTCATTGTGATGGATTGGAATTAGGCATACTGCACTTCTCAAATCAAATGCTGCTATACGCATCATTTGATTCCATGAATGGGTTTCACTCTGTTCTGGAGGGAGGTGCCTTTAGTGGTGGTACGGAAGACGTCCACTACAGGTGTATCTATCACTGAAATGTTTAGTTAAAATGACAGTATCACTGCTCACAGATCACTTCAGTGAGATGAAGTGGTCTGGGTGACTTTAGTGTCCCTTTAAATCTGAATGGAAAAACAGAGCAAAATATAGCTGATCTGGATATAGTTTCTAACTCTGCTATAAACAAGAATGAAGACCACTCACAAAAGTAAAGTGGAACTAAATAACTTTTAGGTTTGAGGGGTGCCCTTGAGGGCACGATAATACTAGACGATACTGATTTTTCATCAGACGTAGGGGTGCCCTCGAAGCCACGTAGGAATACTTCTGCCTCTCTGGACCCTTTTTGATAATTTGTATCTACAGATACTTTTGTTTCTCCATATCAACTTTACTCCCGAACTTGACACATGCTCGGCAGCTACATGGTTAACATACTGACTCTGGAAATATAAGGACTTTTTTGACGATCTAGTAGATATGTTATTTACAAATTTTTTTTTTAATTTTTTTTTTTTTACTAATTATGGTATCTTGCTTACTATTTTAATATACAAATAAACGTAAAGTTTGTTTGTTTGTTTTTTCATCTATTTTGTGCTCTACTAATGTGTTGCTTTTTTTTTTTTTCTTCATGAGTTATGTTGGAACTTTATTTAGTTCTCACTTTACTTTTGTGAGTGGTCTTCATTCTTGTTTATTTAAATTATAGGGGTTACCCCCAGTCATTTAGCAACTTGACACTTTCTTCTTTATAAAATTGTATTTTTTACTAACTCTGCTATAGTCACAACATGGCTTTTTTTTTTTAATTTTTTTTTTGTCATTTGGATTTATTGTGAAAAACGTGGGTGTGTGTGTGTGTGTGTGTGTGTGTGCGCACGCGCGTGCACCGGCTGTATGAGGGAGCAATTGCTAAAGTCTGCACCCACTAGAAGTGCAGACCTCGCGCTCCTTGCCCTGGCGACAGTCCCATCCCCCAGAGCAGAGCCAAAAAAAAAAAAAACGCCGTCTGGAGCCTGGAACTGCTTGTCCTGAGCATCATGCAACTTTTTTTTTAAATAACACTGCAACCTTTAAAACAACTCTGATTTCAAATTGGGTTATGCTGCAAAATGTAATTATGATTTGGATTTGGCCTTGGATTTTCTGCACCTGGCTAAACTTGTCAAAGCTGTGTTGTCAGTCTAAATTCCAGAAAGTTCTCTATTCACATGTATATTTTTATTTTAAGCAAAGTGATGTAGATTTACTTTGCACGGTGGTATGGGGGTGGGAGAATGGCAATAAGAGCTATAATGCATATTCTGTATATGTATACCCCCAGCTCCTGTCAGATTTGGCAGATAATGAAGATCCTCTACTGCGGTCTTATGACTGGCTGAAGTGGGGAGCTTGGTGAATGCTGGTTACCCGGACATTGCACCGGGTGACCTTTGGAATGTAGGCTGCCTGCAGTTTTCCACCCCAGATTTTGGCGTAAAACGTATATTCTGAATTTTTTTTTTTTTTCTGGGAAATGTATATAAAGAAGGATTGTTATCATACAGCGTTATTCATAAAAGTGTAAATTTAGTTAAAGGGATTCTCCAGTACCAGGAAAATAAACCTGTTACCCTGGCACTAGAAAATCCTGGAGTGCCCCCCTCCCATTCGCCCCCCCATCCCATGTCGCTGAAGGGGTTAGAACCCCTATAGCCGCTTACCTGAATCCAGCACCGATGTCACTCTGTGCTGGGTCAAGCTCCGCCCATGCTCCTCCCCCACCTGTCGGCGTGGGGGGACCTAATGCGCATGTGCGGTAATTGCCATGCGAGCGTTTGACCTCCCGATAGGAAAGCATTACTCAATCCTTTCCTATTGTGAAAATCTGACGCTGGAGGTCCGTGAGGATGTCCAGCGTCCGATAACAGACCAAAAGTCTGTGACGAATCTGGAAACACCCCCAGTGGCTGTCTGTTAGAAAACTGCAGTGTTTTACATTGCAGCAATAAGTGCAAAAGGGACAAAGCACCCAGACCACTTCAATTAGCTGAAGTGGGCTGAGTGCCTACAGTGTCCGTTTTTAATGTGAATTTCATGTTATTGATTCAGTTCAAACGAATAATGCCGCATTAACACATTTTCTTGTCTGCAGATGCACATTACAAATTCTGAGAAATGACCACATCAGGGGGATGAGTACCTGATCAAAGCATCCTCTGATGAAGTCTTTAATCCCAGGAATTAAAAAAAAAAAAAAGTTAAAGAATAACCCATATCAGTATATTTCTAACCAAATGCAGAAATTACATCAGGACATGAGAAGTGACTGATAGGTTACACATACCTGCTTCAGCATTTATCAACTATTGATTCAATATCATATTATTACCCTCTTTCCGTGGTTTCTCTGGCTGTTGTAGAAGCCAGTCTAGCAGAAATATTTAGTTTATAGGCAATTGCAATCTTGAACTATTTTGTTTATTCTATGTAACCATAAAATTCCTCACACTGTATGTGTTTTCTTCGAACAAGTGGATTTGTAAATAGATGACATAAATACTGTAAAAGAAATGTAAAATCTTTTCATTGGCATTTAAACAAAGAAAAAATGAATTTACTTTGGCATACACTTTTATTTGAACGCTAGATTTTGAAACCTTAGTTTGCCATTAAACAGATATTGGGGGAAAAGTGGCTTTGTATGGTGAGTTATTGTGTTAAAGGGACACTCCAGACCCACTGAGTCCAAGCACTTTAGCTTGCTGAATAGCTTTTTTTTTTTTTTTTTGGAAATGTTGAGATTTTAATAGAAATTTACACTTTATTTTATATTATACTGGTTACCCATCCCAGGCTTTTTCAAGCAGACATGTCCTGTTACTTCCTGGTTTGGTTAGTATATTTGCACTAAACTGAAGAGACCGTAATTGCCCAGAGCACCCATAGACATAGAATACATAGACGCTGCATGTCTATGGCATTGCGTGCTGAGCGTCAAGGAATGCAGGCGCCATCTTGGACCAGTCGCCGCTCTACTGAAGCTTTCAAAGATCCATTGGAAAGTCCATCTCACAAAAGGTAAGTGAAGGACTTGGGGCAATTATAGTCCTTAATACCCCTACCCCAGCACACTATGTGTATTAACACTGTGTGGGTAGGGGTATTAAGGACTGTGTGCTGGTGTAGGGGTATGGGAATTAACACTGTAGGGCTAGGGGTAATAAGGACTATAAGTGCCCCAAGTCCTTCACTTACCTTTTGTGAGATGGACTTTCCAAGGTCTCTTTAATAGCTTCAGTAGAGCGGCGACCGGTCCAAGATGGCGCCCGCATTCCTCGCCGCTCAGCACGCAATGCGGCGTCTAGGTATTCTAGGTCTATGAGAGCGCCTGCCTTGCAAAGACTTCTCATTGAGCTTAATTGGACAGCCACAGGAAGACTGGGCTTGGTTAAAGGAGTATGGATTGTAAAGAAGCAGACAAGAGAACTGCAGGTTTTGCAAGCTGTTTTTAGATATAACTCCAGTGGAAAAAAATGCATAATTAAAGTTTTTTTAAATTTGTGGTGTATCTACTAAGCAGTGAATATTTTGTATGTAGGCAGCGGATTGTCCCTTGTAGATCTCGTGCTACAGTTTATAGCGCAATTTGTTTCTGCTGCATCAAATATAACATATTTTCAAAACGTTTATATCAGGCATTTGCCAACCATTCATTGATGTTTTTCTTTTACATAATTAAATTTCCTTTTTTTTTTTAATTTTACTTATACAAATGCTTCTATTTCAAGCAGTATGCACAAACATGTCCCTTATAACTTGTATGTAATGCATGACTGATTCTGTCTCTGTACGAGGGGTTAACTTTCCATGCTGTTTGCAGCAGCAGTGATGCCGCATGGCCAAGTGTTCATCTGATAAGCGTAATCCCAGTGCCATGTGAACCATTTCATGACCTTATATGGTAACTGCCACAGACAAACCGTTTCTATTGGAAGTGTTCATTGTCACCACGGTTACCTTGTGCTTCTCTTCTGATCAGAAGTTAATTTTACTGCATTTGTGGCTGTGTTTCTATGCTTAGAAGTGTGTGTGTGCGTGAGCATATTTATTTTGTAGCGTATTATGTTGTTGTAAAACTGCTAATAAATGGCACATTAATGTGAACAGAAATGAGGAACTATAACTGTATCTGTCCTAGAAAAAGAATGGCATTGTGTTTGGGGGGGGAGGGGGAAAGAAAGATGCTAAATACATAGATGGATACAAAGAGTTAGGGTGAGAGGTATCTGTTAAATCAGGAAATAGTTTAGCAACATACCCCTACAGCTCATAATCAGAATCATTCTAGTTAACTTTATAATGCTTGTTTTATTGTTTAGTCTGCACATCGTGTTACTGGTGCCAGAAAATGTTACTCCAACTATCCTAGCTACTACAGCCTGTTGTAGCTGACCACTCCCAGCCAATGAATGAACGTCCTGTGCATAGAAGTAAGCACTGAATTCACTTTAGCTATCACAGAACCCTTGTTCCAGGCTGGCTAGTGATCTCCCAATCGTGCTGATGGAGGGGGAGTTACACTTTCAGCAGTAAGAAGGTTAAACTCCATATGCACAGCGTTTCATAGTGAAATGCAGGCACCATGACCACTCCAAATCACCTGAAGTTTAGTTCTGAATATTTACTGTCCGGAGCCCAATGTTTAGCATGAGGCTGTACTTTTGACACAAACTGTCTAGCTCGTTTGAGTAGAACACATAGCTACAGTACCCGTAAATGATACCTTCTATCAATTAGTAAAGAGTTGAAAACCAAAATCACAAAATTACATGTGCATTTGATCTGTTTGTTTGCTCCTAAGTTTTCACGAAAAATGTTTGGTGATTGTCCTCAACTACCTCAATTGAGAAATTGACTCATTGTGACACAGAATGCCCCTGACCTATTTAAAATGTTATATTTCTCTTTTCTTTTTATATTTTCTCCTTCCAGGTTTGTAGAACTCATGGTAGAAGAGGAAACACTTTAAAGAATTTATCCAGGCAGTTGGAGCAGAAAGGTAAATCCTAGAATTCTATTTTATTTCTTATTAATTTTTTTATTTTTATTATTTTTTTACACAAATAGATGCTCAAGACACTGCCAAAACTTACTGGGTAAAGTGTTTAAATGTGAATGTGTCCTGTGTGTTGTACCCTGATTGTGTACTGCATATTTTCAGAGAGAGTTTTTTTTAATTTTTTATGAGGAAATATCTAAGAAACACCCTTCCCTAAGCCCAGATAGATGCAGAGACATGGGGAAAGAAAATAAAACAAAATTCAACTGTTCTGTATGCTTCAGCTTCTTACAAAAACTAGGGATGCAGCGAAATTTTGGCTGCAGAAATTTCCTGGTGAAAATGGGCCAATCCTGGACAAAAACGGGTCAAATTTGCTTTAAAAAATAAAATAAAATGATTATATATTGGGGGGGAGAAAAGAACACTATGGGACAGGGGAGTGGGGGGAAAGAACACTAAAAAAGAGGGAGGGGGTTGAACATTGAGCAAGGGGACCACTAAAAGAGAAGGGAAGTTTTTCATATTAAATTAATTAAATTCATTAAAAAGTCTTAATTTTTAGGAATTTTTTTTTTTTTTTTAAATCATTTGGGGGGAAAGTCATTTTCAGTTTTTGGCCAAGGGCATCCTGAAATTTCGGTCTCTGCCCAGAATTTTTATTTCGGTGCATCCCTAACAAAACCTTAGTGTTAATGCTGATTATAAGCCTGCAAAACTTGTTTTAGTATACCTGGCAAACTTGGTTATGAAAGTATTTCATTTGTATAGGAATGCTGAGTCAGTCTGTAATATAATCACCAGGGTTTCTAGGACCCAACCACACAGGGTTAACTTTTAAAAATCCTGCTTTTATATCATTCTTAAAAAGAATGTAAGATTTCCTACGTCCAACAAGAAAACTGTTTAGAAACCTGTAAATAATAAACTTCCCATGTGTTCATTGTTATGTCCACTATTAAATAGATAATGAAATGCATGCCCCATTATGATGTCTCGTATGTGACAGTCTGTTAATCTTTTGCAAGCATACTTTTTTTTTATTATTATTATTATTATTATAATAAAGTGGAACATTATATCCTGAACAATGCCTATGTAATATTACCACACATTAAATAATATATTGCGCAACGCTTTTCCTTTTTCTTAAATGAGATTGGATTATTTTTTTCTCCTTTGAATGCGATACTAGATATTATTTGATGCAGAAATATAGAATTACAAAGAACCATTGTACTTGCTGCTAAGTGACTTATTTGTCAATTTAGGTTTCGTCTTTCCTTAAAAAAAAAAATTTTTTTAAAATCCCAAGGACCCCTGGATGGATTTTTATCTGCCTATTTACGTCTACCTATAAACTGGAACGGTCTTTAGAATGCTCTATGATTTCTCTATCCGTTTAAATCTGATTAAAGCAATATATTTGGTAAATGTAATATTTGAATCACTCATATGTAACTTTCACCTGTTTTTCTTTCTATGCGGCACCTCTGCACTATATTTATATAAAATGATACCTCTATTTCAAGAATATTGTCATTATCACATTAATTATTTTAAAGTCCTTAACCTTATGTTGGAATAAGGTACTTCTGTAGAGAAGATGTTCCAAGTCCACTACATTTGTCCTCCGTTACATTACCAAGGTAGTTCATATATTTATTTTTTTGTCACTTTTAAAAATCTGGATCTAGTTAGAACATTAAAGGGTTTTGATAAATGCATCAATGGTGTGTATAGAATACAGACTATTGTAATCCAGAAAAAAAAGTTCCACTTTTTTTTTTTTTTTTCTTCCCTCTTCCATTTAGACGCCACTGTAGTTGACGATTTCATTCAGCTGTAATTTGCCTCTTTGCTATTCATATATTTAGAATTTGTTCCAGGAAACTCAGCAGTCACCGTTTCTCAACAAATTCCTTCTACAAAGCCACCAGGACCACAACTGCAGCTGTATATTATGGGGACAGAAGTGAATTATTAATATTCTAAAAAGGAAAGAAATAGTTGAAAGAAAAAAGATCAAGCGCATTTAATTATGTCAATAAAAATATTATCAAATAACCAATTAGTTACTACCACACTTGTGTGGACTGTTTCCAAAACACCACACCTTATAACAATCGTAGCATAAGTGAAAGTGTAGAGCTAACATTTTAAAAAATATGTACTCACTCAATCTGTAGATCAGAATTATTTAATCTGTTACACCATGGTATCAAACAATATTAATTCATACTCTATGTATGTGGGTCTCAACAGTTGTGTAACTTGGTAGCCCACTCACATTTTATAGACTTTGAAACTGGCTCTGATTTTGAAATTCTGGTGCCGATTTGCTACCTATTCATTGTGCCAGTTCTTTATGATGAATGATCTAGAATATATAAAACAATACTTGGCAGTATCTGCAAAATATTATTGAAAAAATATAGGTATACAGGTATTCCTAATGGTAATTGGTTATTAAACCTTAATTATGTTTTGGCTGTTAATGTGACTTTTAGACTTGGTTCTAGTTTCAAACATATATGGTGTCCATTTGGGGTGGCACCTTTCCCCCTTTTTTCAAAAACCATATGAGAAATAGGAAATTCAGTGTAATTATGTAAAGTACCTGTAGCGGTGCTCCCTGTACCCCGGCTCTGGAACCTCTGCCAAGGATCGCTTCCTATCTGGAGCCGGGGAAAACCTCAGCGCTTCTGCCCAGTGTCTGTGGCTTGACTGGGGTCCTCCTGGAGCCTCTCCATCCTGGAACAGGGTACTAGCTCGATTTCCTCTCAGGGACTGGACAACACTCAGTCTTGGGAGCTATAGTCTTTACAGGGACTTTCTCTGCTGAATCCTCCACGAGCAGGAACAAGATGCTGAGCAGTGAATAAGCACTTTCCTCTGGGAGTACAACTGATTTTAGTGAGCAAAACTTTGCCTTTTATGGACAGACCCCAGCAGGGGCCTCTAAACAATACAATACAATACAAGCCCCTTCCAGGTGTCTCTGTGCCTGGGAGATAATAGTTAAAGACTGGTAAGTTAATTATCTCACAGGAACAGAGAGCCCTACACAAAAACATAAAAGTACCCTGTAACGGATCACCCGGCACTCGGACTGAGTACCTCCGTTGACTGATGCTCCTAGTGCTTCCCGAGGGCTCCAAGCACTCCACTTGACACCATAAGTACTGCAGACCTCCTGAACCGCCGCAGCTTGGTTGGGGTCTCACCGTCTCCTACCCACTCTGGACCTACGACAAGCCTCCAGGTTCCAGTGGGTGAACCTCTTTCCCCAGAGAGTGAAGCAGGGACAAGCTCTTAGAAGAGCTTGGTGATTATTCAAGGGAGTATGAAGAGCATAGCAATCCCTTGTAGCAGATTCCCCCAATAAGAGACAGGACTCTAAATTGAGGGTGAAGTAGAACTGGTTTAATGAGCACAAAGGCATTTCTTATATACAGTTTTCCCCACAAGGTTACCACCCACGTGGACCTTGTGGAGCACAGGAGACCGTCTCAACAGCCAATCAGCACAGTATTGTTAGACACTCCCAGCTAATGTACATAAACCCTCCCCTCTGCCTGTGATACAGGGTGGTCGGCTGTTCGGTTTGTTCTGTAAAATCCATTTACCAAACCACATAGAGAAAAAGGCACGAACAAGCCTTTTTACAGTCTTGTACCACAGTTTTAGCCATAGTCACAGGGTAGGAGGCTGATAATCAGGCCCCTCCAAAAGTCAGTGGCGAAGGGCAGTTCGTCACATACCCCAAACCATTATAAAAACATATAATAACCCCACATGTCCTACATCACCAAACAGCCCTGATCTGAGCGCCCAAGTTGTCCAAATAGCGATCGGATCCATGCAGTATATGGGAAACGCCACCAGGGGACTCTGACTGACTGGCCGCACATGTGGTTCTATGACCAAAATGGTGCCAGAGCAATGTGTGCTTTTGCCGGTCAACTTTCGGGAGTTTCTGTGGCCAAAATACGGGGTGGTTCACATTGCTCTCAGGGAGCGTTTTTTCTTCTTAGTCTCAGGCATCTTCCCTCTAAAAAGTGCTCTCCTGGTGGGTCTCTAAGCAGTTCAAAGTACTGGACCAAATTCCCCGGAAACCTTAAAGGACCTCTATAGGCACCCAGAACACTTCAGCTTAATGAAGTGGTCTGGATGCCAGATCCATCTAGGATTAACCCTGCAGCTGTAAACATAGCAGTTTTTTTTAGAGAAACTGTTTACATGTGGGTTAATCCAGCTGATTTTCACAGTGAGAAGACGCCAGCGTCCATAGGAAAGCATTGAGAAGGCTTTCCTGTGGACTGGCTGAATGCGCGCGTGGTGCTTGCGCATTCAGCCGGTGACGTCAGAAGAGGGAGGAGAGTCCCCAGCGCCAAGGGAGCCCGGCGCTGGAGAAAGGTGAGTGTTTAACCCCCTTCCGCCCCCTTCAGCCCGGTGGGAGTGGGACCCTGAGGGTGGGGGCACCCTCAGGGCACTATAGTGCCAGGAAAACGAGTTTGTTTTCCTGGCACTATAGTGCACCTTTAAGGTCACATAGCCGAAAACAGTTCCATAAAAACCACGGCTAAGTACAGCTGAGGACTGTTTGAGGTTAGTGTGCACGCACGATCCAAGGTGACCTGGATCTACTAAGTCCTCATGCCGGAATTAGTTAATTAGTTCCATAGCAGTTGCGGCTAAGTACCGCTGAGGACCGTTGAGGGGAAAGCTGCTAAGGGCGGCTGGGCAGGGTAACTTCTGAACTGGGTCTCCAACCTGGACCATAGTTGGTGGGCAGGAGGCCAGCTATCACACTCCTGCTCGAGTTTGTGGCAAACGTCCATGGAAAAGAGCATTTGTCACAGTACTGTCTTTGCAGCAATTGGAAAATATATTGCACTAATGTAGTATTGAGCTCTTAATTTGACTGTAAGTAGAACAGCTTGGGTGTTTTTGTGTTGCGTTAAAACAAACCCTCAACTGAAGAATCCTTACTCGTGCTGCTAGAAGTCAAACATCGGAATTCATTTTTAAAAAAAATGTTTTTATATTTTTTATTTTTATATTGTAGACCAGGGTCTGCCCTCCTGTGTCTGAGACTCGTTTTGCAACTGACTGGTGCTTTTTCAATTTCCTATTTTGCTCTAATCTATTGGGTTTTTATTAGTAACCATGTTAGTCTGTATAACAAAACTTTAAGCTGAATATTCTACAGCACAGTGTTGGCCAACATTTTATAATGCAGCTTACGGGGTATTCTCAGCCATCAATGAGCGATCTAGTTATGTTTATCTTTAATCTACAGATAGATTGCAAAGGCTGACATTCTGGTTTTAATTTTTTTTCTTGCAAATAACAGACATTAAATGGCTTTGTTAATTAATTTTTCTCTTGCTTTGTGCCGTCTTCCTGTCTTAATGTCATTCCATTCCCTCTGTGTCCCCAAACCCACACTATGATTTGTCGCTGGTTAGACAACTGCTATTTGTTAAGCCCCCTACACGTATTTTAAATCATTTTTTCTGTCAGTCGCTCTTATGTCAAGGCTGCCCTGAGCCTTGTGCTTTCACTTGGTGCACACTGAGTCACTTAGAAGACGATGTGTGGAAATATACAGAAGTTTATTTTCAAAATCCTTCTTGCGCTGGATCTTTGACATTCTATCTCACTAAATGGGTTGGTTACAAGAAAGCCTAAACGTGTTATTTCAGATACTCTGAGTAGGGCATATTCTGTTTACTTGGATCACCATAGCTTCGCAGCATGATTTATTTACATATATACATTTATTTACATATTCTCTATATTTAACAAATATGCGTATGAGAGGTCTGAAAATTCAAATTAAACGTAGTCATTCACGGTTGCTGGTCTACGCTCTCTCCTGCATCTGGGTGCCCATAAAGAGGAACTAACAATGGGAGATGGATTTATCAGAAAAGTGGTGCAATGTTGTAATTTGGGACTAATCACCAGTACATGCTCATTGCATTGATTTCCATGGTGACTGCCCTATGTTCAGAAAAATGCACTTTTCTCCCCCTCCTTCCCCCCCCCAAAAAAAACCCAACACTGTATCAGGCATGAATTGGTTTGATATAATTTGATCAATTAAAACAAAAGTATCACATGAGAAAAAAAGATTAACACAAGTTAAAGGATATAAACACACTAGGAGAGCGCAATTCTTATAAAAGTATACAATATTTAGAAATGACAAATGAAAATAAAACAGCTGCTAGTTCAGATGTAAAGATAAGTGGAAGCGCTCTACTTGGAAAACCCGAAATTTATCACTTTCAAAAATATGGAATATACACACCTCTTACTATATGCAATATAGTAATGATGAATAAAATCACTTATTTCAAAAAGTCAAAAGCACATAAAACCATTGGATCTATACTTCCATATCTCCATTAAGATTGTTGCAGAGTCCAAAACAGTCTTTGGGGAGTAGTCCTATTAGGGTTGATTCAGTTTTTCTACTGCGTTCAAGCGTCTTTAAAATACTATGTAACACTGTATCTGTTTGTACCTTAAAAGGATACAAGAAAACACTTCATAGTGTAAAACTGTAATTTAAATAAGTGATTTTATTCATCATTACTATATTGCATATAGTGAGAGGTGTGTGTATTCCATATTTTTCATAGTGATAACAAATTTCGGGTTTTCCAAGTAGAGCGCTTCCACTTATCTTTACAAGTTAAAGGATCGCTATAGGGTCAGGAACACAAACTTGTTTTCCTGACCCTATAGTGTTAACACCACCATCTAGCCCCTCATGCCTCCATAAATATAGTAAAAATCTTACTGCATGCTGTTAGACTCAGAAAAACAAGCAGTCTGCTGACATTTGGTAGCCTGATCCAATCACAGTGCTTCCCTGTAGGATTGGCTGAGACTGACAGAGGCAGATCACTGGCAGAGCAAGCATGATTCAAACACAGCCCTGGCCGATCAGCATCTCCTCATAGAGATGAATTGAATCAATGAATCTCTATGAGGAAAGTTCAGTGTCTGCATGCAGAGGGAGGAGATACTGAATCACAGGATGCTGTGCTCTGCTGACAGCAGATCTGAGTGGACGGAGGCATATTATGCATCCATCAACTCGGAAGTCCCTCTGGTTCACTCTGAGTGACTGCAACTGAAAGTGTTCCTAGTTTTCAATGTAAACACTGTATTTTCCTAGAAAATACAGTGTTTACATTAGAGGCTGCAAGGAGCTATAGTTCTCACCTGAACAACCTCATTAAGCTGAAGTTGTTCAGGTGACTATAGTGTCCCTTTAAAGGTGTTTTCAATGTTTCAGTGGTGTAAATTTCAGAGAAGTGTTAGTTCCTTTAAGTTGTTTCTCACATGAGAGAGACGCATTTTTTTCCGTCAGTACAGCAACATCTCAAGTAGATTCTGATGTAAAATTGTATCACCGTATAAATGATTTATCTAATTATTGTGTACAGAGACTAGTCAAGAAATGTATTTATTTTTTGCTTTATTTAAATTTTTTTTTTTTTTTTTTAATACAAGAAACACTATAGGACTGTATCTGTGCCTATCATTAAAGTGGTTAGAGTGTCTGAAGTCCCTTGGAGATTTTACTCTGGTCACTGTTAAACCATTTTCAAATAGCTTAGCACTGTAGGTCCTAGGCCATCTGCAGCTTGACCATCCACTAGAAGCATGGTTAGAGGGAAACTCCAGTGCCAGGAAAACAATCCATTTTCCTGGCACTGCAGGTCCTCTCTCCCTCCCACCCCCTGGTTGCTGAAGGGGTGAAAACCCCTTCAGTAACTTACCAGAGGCAGCGTTGATGTCCCATGTCGTTGCTTCTTCTGCCGCTCCTCCCAGTGATTGCGTCGGCTGGTCGGTGAGACTGATCCCGCCCACCGGCCGGGGAGACTTAATGCGTAGCAATGCCGTGCATGCGCATTAGAGCTTCCCCATAGGAAAGCATTGAAAATGCTTTTCAATGCTTTCCTATGGGGAAATGAGCGACGCTGGAGGTCCTCACACAGCGTGAGGATGCTCTAGCACAGGTTTTCTGTGCTGTGGACAAGGAAGTGCCCTCTAGTGGCTGTCTAGAAGACAGCCACTAGAGGAGGAGTTAACCCTGCAATGTAATTATTGCAGTTTATAAAAACTGCACTAATTACATTGCAGGGTTAAGAGTAGTGGGAGATGGCACCCAGACCACTCCAATGGGCAGAAGTGGTCTGGGTGCCTGGAGTGTCCCTTTAAGGTAAAAATGTATGGGTGCCTGGAGTGTCCCTTTAAGGTAAAAATGTATACTCTGCCATAGCCATACCAACTCATACCAGCAATGAATGAATGTGAGGGGTGCCACCACAGGACTCCAGGCATTATAACCACTTCAAAGACATGACATGCTTATAATGCATAAAGTCCCATAAATGATGTTAAAATGAAAATGTTCATCAGTCAAGTTCAACATGTGATTGTTTCTCCCCACAAACAAACCATTCTTGCTGCTATGTTTTCAATGTAATGGTGGATTTGTTGTGGCTGTAGCTAGTGGCATGTTTCCAGCTTTGGAAAATTACTTTCCTTTTATTTGTTGCATAGTATGGGAGCTGACCATTCAAATGGTTAAGAGCTATGTACAAAGGAATGTAGATATGTGTTTAGTCGAAATCTTTTCCCATTTTCTTAAAGCTTTAGTTGGTAAGTGAAATTTCACAGTTTTGCTTTGGTACTTTACACGAAGGACACGTAAAAAATAAGCCCATGTTCAAAATGAAACCTTATAGTGTGACATATTCTTCCAGTCTGTATCCCTGATTCCTCTTCCTTTCCATTTTATTTGCTTTTTTTTTTTTCTTTCTAGTCCTTTGTCGTTGGTGAGTCTTTTATTTTGTACACTCGTTTCTTCACTAAACTGGTTACTCACTTTGCCAGATTTTTAAATTTTTGTTCATAATGTTTTTGTATTGTAAACACTAAATATTCTGGCACAGTTAGCTAATGTATAGAAAATGCAACTAAAATTTTTAAAGGAAGCAATATGTTTCAATGTTAAAGTTCCCAAAAGTGCAGCGATTTTATGGTTCACGTAGTTTAGCCCACAGGTGCAGTTCCACTCCCATAGGATGAATGGAACTGTTCAATAAGCTGTGAGCAGCTATCTGTTTTATTCATAGCCATGTTCAGATTTGTAAACTGGCTCTAAGGAGTTTTTTGCTGGCTGCCAACCAGATCTTGTGCAGCTGTGGCTTAGGCTTTCTAGAAAGCTAGAGGTTGGAGGAGGGAGATTTGCATGTGGTATGCGCAGCATGAATGGGCTGGCCGCATGGATCATGGCCGCAAAGGTGGGAGTAAAATTCCTCCTCCATTACTGATCCAAGCAACAGTATTTTGGTCACATGTGCTATGATGCAGAAACAGGGAGACTATACATGATTACAGTATAAACTTTGCATTAGTGTCCTCGGTGTTCTAGTGCTTTATTTTGTACATTCAGTTATCACTTTTACGTGACATCATATCCTCTATTGTCTCTTAGTTTTAATGATAATTATGATTTTTGAAGCTGGTCAAGCTTTTTGTTCTTTGATTATTCTGCAAGCCGCAATCTGTTTGCATCACTGGTGGCTGTCTGATACAGATTGCCAGACTAATCTACACTCAATGATTTTTATTTCATTTTGTAATGACGCCATCAAGGGTGAGCAGGAGAGAGCAAACCCCCTAATTTAATGCCCTACAGCTATCGTAAGTTCATTGTATAGTGCGTGCATATGTATAAACAATATGGGGAAAAATGGGATATACTATCCCTTTAGACTCTACATTATAAATACAATAATTTTCATGCTGTTTAAATCAAAATTCTACAGTGACCTATTGTGTAGCAAAGATGCTTAGTTAAACCATGCGTGCTCAGTTTCTGTACAGATTTTTTTTTTTTTTTTTTTGCTTATTTCGGAAAAGAACCTGAACAAAAAAGGACTATAACATTATTACGATGTACTCCAATAATAGAACAAGGGATTGTATCAAAATCTTGTGTGGATTGGAAGCCCAACCTGCAGTGTCATTTTTGTTGAATGGGTGTTTTTTGGCGTACAGAAGAAGAGAAACATCTGCAAAACCAGGAAATCCTAAAGTTATTTATCCGTTTTAAAAGTACTAGTTCTCCAGTTAAATAACACTACTGTGTTTTTGTTTAGGTTTTTTCCTTGTGATATTACTCATTTCTCTGAGAAAAAGGTGGATTTGAAGTGAAAAGTTTTATTAAGGAAGAAATGTTCTAAAACTAGTCCTGAAGTGATTGCCTAAAGGTACAAGTTTTAGAATAGTATACCTAGAGGAACACATATAGCATAACCAGATCAGTTCAATACTGCATATTCAAAAAATATGAAAATAATAGTATCCTCCCTTTTTGTAATTTTTTTATTTATTTATTTTTTTATATATAAATCTCTCTATATCTATATATATATCTCTTGCCATTACAGTGTGTGGGATAGCAATAAATATAGAAGCAGTAGAACATACAAACAAAACACACCACAATAAGAAATCTGGTTAAACATATAGTTTAAAATGCAAAATAAGCATAAGGAGAAAAGATTAACAAGAATACAGATCGGTAGTTTGAGACCCCAGAAACCCATCTATGGTAAAAGGCAGAATGGGCAGCGTAGATTAAGCAGGGGTCAACGAGGTAAGGTATACTTTCCACGACTATCTAATCCTGTTGTGGATGGCAAGGACATCTAAAAGTCTGCCCGACAACTGTTATGCACACATTTTACTTTAATTATAAGCATCACAGTGTGAGGGACCGCAACCCTGCAGCACTTAGCCGTACCAAGTTGCGTGGGACTGTATATCTTGTGGATGGCATCAAGGGTGACAGGAGTGTCAATAAAGGGCCGGGAACAATGGTAATTCCTGAAAGTTGGCAAAGGAGCTCAGAAACCTCACCGCAAACCGTGTAATTCTAATACACTGGCACCACATTGGAAACCTGAAGCCTTTTCTTCACAACCCCTATTGCATTATGGTGAGCAAACAAGGTAGATAAAAACAGCACGTGCGCTCAATACTGGTGCAAACGTAAAAAAGGAAAAGTTTTTACATTTCCCAAAACCATTTTAACAAATAAAACAAAAAAAAACAAACAACATATTTCAAATATTACACAGCTTGCTGGCTTTCCCCATTTAGCCAGCAAGCGGTTTTAGAGGAGTATTGAATATAATTTATGGTATCGCTTCCTTTGCCATCCTGAATACTAAAGCATTTTACGTGCAACAGGATGTCAGCTGCCTTCTCCCAGTGTAGTGTATACATGGCCTTCGTTTTGTTAACTTCCCCTCCTCTTCTTCCTAAACAAATCTGCAGTCTAGTGCAGACTTTCTATAGACATTGTATAATATTGTAATACAGGTTTGTGTGTGTAAGAAGGATTAACTCTTAAATTACATTACACACATCATTTGACAAAATTCCATGCATTGCAGGAGTGTTGCTGGTTTCAGAAACCCCAGGATCACCGTGAAAACTAAACCGGAAACAAGCAAACACTGCACTGCCAGCAGATCGTACTGGAATGTCTAAGATATATCAACTGTATTTATTTAGAAATGAAGGTACATGTTGAGGGTATTTGTGGTGATTGTCACTTTCATACTAAAATAGTTCTCCATCTCAAAAATATAGAATCTTTCTGAAGAACTGTGACAAAGGATGCTATGTGGTCACTTAGATATACAATACATTTATACTGCTATAGAATGACTTATTAATTGGATTATTTGTACCTAGCTTTAATATCTCTGTCCCTGAACAGGGAGTATCACTAGGACTTCAATAATAGACATTTCATTCCATGACACCAACAACCTGTGTTCCTTTTTTTTTTTTTTCCCTCTTGTTCTCCATTGTATAACTTCCACCTACACAGAGTGCAAATGGGATTACTATTTCATGTATAGAATAAAACACCTGTTATACCTGAGCCTGCAGAGATTAAAGGCTGATTGTAAAATCGGATGATTAATTATCGAACATCAAACAGAACCATTTTATAAGCTTCATGCAGTGGAGATGTAAAACAAACGATTTTAAGTCTTTCTTGTACTTGTCCTCCAAAAGGCTGATACTAGGAATCCCTGTGCAAATAATCTGTGCTTGTAAAGTGTGTTCTAGCCAACAAATGGCAGAAATCAAGATGCGTTCTAAACCATTAATTTTGCCACCTGTTAAGGTGTTAGAGGAAAATATAACCATTAAGCATTATGTGATCTGTCATTGTGACTTTGGAGGTTTTGTAATTGAGCCTCCTGTTTGTGTCATAAGGTCATTCTTCCCCAGGTTAAGGAAAATTGTCCACCTGGGAACTTGGGATAGCTTACTGTAACCGCAGGGACATTAGAACAGTATCGCACCCTCAGTGTCTTGGTACACTACTGTTCATTTACTGCCATCTGGTGCTGCAGTTCCATATTCCTTGCCACGTTATTGTGTTATCCTTCACCTTCTTTATACTTGTGGATTCTGCTGAATATGATATTGTCCTGATGAACTATGGTAGTGTTTGTAATGCTATATATCCATGCCAAGCTGTCACCTACATTTGTTCTCTGCAAAATGTGTACCTAGTGGTGTTTATTTTAAATAAAAAGTGATTTGTAAACATGGGCACCTTTTGCACATTCTGTAGAATTTGGTATTATAAAAATGTATGGTCTGGTCACATTTGACCTTAGAAAAATTAGTCCCATAGATTCATTGGTATATTTTATACGTCCATAGTGCATCCTGCAGAGCAGTCACATTTCCCCTCTCCAAATACATGCCATATATTCTTTTATATCTTCTGATTGATTCTGCAGTTTTTGTGTACCCTCTCCTCTAGTGTGTCCCATGCTGGTCCTGGTTTTACACATTCCCATTCAGCTCTGTTAATGCAGGTGCACTTGATATCACGCATTATAGATAGATACACAGGTCCTTTTTACTTGAGCATGTTTCCTAGTTGCAAAATGATTTGTAATATTAACTTTTTACTAACTAGTTTGTAACAATATTTTCTGCAGTGCTCTGTAGGTTCCTGTTTTTGATGATTAGTGAGATTTATTGTAACTTTAAGTAGTTACTCCAACCACAAACCAGTGTATAGGTTAGACTAGACCTCTCTGAGGTGCCCTGCTCTCAACACAGAAAGTTAAATATTGTAGTGATAAACACGAAATACTCCTTGCTGGACATGTCTCCCCCTCGCCATATTGGAAGTAATGTCAAGGAGGACACATTGAGGGGAGGAAAAGGTTGTCAGATATGGGGGGATGCATGCCACCATTGACTGCTGTCTTCAAGCTGTGCGTGCATGTGTCGGACCCCTATTTTGTGCAGAATCGATGTTCGAGTTACATCTAATGCAACTCTAATGACTGTCAGAGATGGAGTTACACCTCTGGCAGCTACGTGGTTAATCTCTGTATTTGCAGCATTTCCAAGTGAAGCGCTGCACATAAAGACTCCAGCCATCATGGCCACTTTAAATCACAGAAGTGGTCATGGTGCTTGGCGTAACGCATTAAGCACGTAACACCTGATTATCCTACTCACAGTGTAAGGAACGATGATGAGCCAATCTGTGCATATTTGGAATCAAGCTTCTGGCAATTTGTGGCATTTGACTATTTATAACATAGACTGTTAAACTGGAGAATGCAATATCTCTACCCCATAGGACAGCCCATAAGTCACTTGCATAAGTCAAACATTTCTACTCTGCAGTAGCTTATAATTGTATATATGAAGGATTCAATGCGTTTTCTGTAACAATGTAATAAAACTAGAATATTGCTTCAAAAAAGCCATTAATAAGTTAAATGTGTGTATTATTTTTATATGTGTTTATATTCTACACAATTCTGCATCTATAGGTCATACTCTCACTAGCGTTTGCATCATTTGAGTTCCTTTAAGACTTGGGGAGGGTAAGTGAGAATTATACTATGTTACAGGAGGATATCTTTGGTTGTTTACCAATAGAAATGTAAAAGGCTGATGCTGTAAACGGTTTTCTTTACTGTGCACAAAGCTATCTAGAGGGGAAAAAAGGTACATTTGTTCTATTTTGTAATAACAGATTGAAACCCATTGACTTCTCAAATCTGCTCATCAGTCTGTTTTTGAATGTGCATGTTTTGTTTCCGTAAACTGCGTCCTAGCAGTTACTAAGGTATGGGTGGCTAATTTTATTCTTTAAAAAAAAAAAAAAAAAAATTTAACTTTAACTGCTATATTGCACCACCTAGAGGATATTTTTTAATATAGCATTAATTTAACAAAATGTGAGCATGTATATCAGGGCATGCTTTCCTTTCTATACTGCTCCGTGCATTATTATATATTCAACACCGTTTGACTGACGCAGCGCAATGTCGTAATCTCAGGGCAGTACCACATACATCTATGAACCTCTCTGAAGTCTGTCGGAATACACTCCTTATCTTTCATTCCATTTATAATTAAGCTCTCTTTTGATGTATCAGGAAAAAGTTGAGGCGACTGAAACCGTACAATTTTGTCTCCCCAGTTACTTTGCCTCCTGGGCAGGAGCTGAAATACTACTCTCAGCATTAAGGAAACATAGGAAATATGCCATAGACTTAATGCTAATTCTAAAAGAAAAAAGTAATGTAAAAGATGCAAAATGCTAAAGCATGCATTTTAGGGAACATGTCATCTTGGGGTTCTAAGGCACATGTAAACTTGATTCATGGCTTATAGGATGGGTGTCCAACCTTTTGACTTCCCTGGGCCGCATAGAGCGCAGAGTAATTGTCTTGGGCCGCATATAAAAGCTATAATCTATTTTATATAATAAAACTTCAAAAGCCATTTTTCTTAAATTTGTTTAGTAGATAAATCTGTTATTTGTTTTCCTTATGTGGGATTGCCATATTTAAGGATCGCAACTTAGGGAGCATATGCACACATACAATCAGACCTATACACACAGTCAGACATATGCGCACACAATCAGACGCACAGTCACAGATGAACACACACATAGTCACAGACATACGCACGGTCACAGCTATACACATGCAATCACAGACCTATATACACAGCCTTGTACGTACGTACGTACGTACACACACAATCAGATGTGCACTCACACGCAATCACAGACTTATGCATGCAATCACAGCGGTGATGATGTAATATCCTGGTCATTGCAGGGCGCACAGGGAGCTGTCCAGGAGGAGCACAGTGCTCCCTGTCTCCCTCGCCACCTGGCAGCATGGATGGCAATCAGGCATCACTGTTAGCGATCCTGGTTTATAGTCTTTAGTTCACATCAGTATTGGCTTAGCTAGAGGAAATCAGCTGGCTGTAGACCTGGTTCATCGTTTTTATCAAACTACAAAATTGCTAGACACCGTTACCAAAGGCAATGCATGACATGACCACCATGATTTTGCTTCTGCACATGAACCCACATGGAATAGGCAAACCTGTGCTGCTTTGTTCATGTCGATGCATACATTTCTTCAACGCAAAATAAAATTCCACCTGCTATAACACATGTGCGTACTAGTTTAGTAATTCTTTTGCATCTCTTGGCTTCCACATGCTTTGTGACCATTTTCCTTTTTTTTAAAGAATGTTAAAAATGTTATTACATAAACATCCTGGGATTTCTTTCAAATAGTTTTTATTAATACATTTTTTCAATAACAATACAGAAGAGAAAATAATTATAACCAACATCCTGGGATTCCAGTTTAATAAATACTTTTTTGGTGTTTGTCTTTGGAAATAGGTCGCGCTTGGAAAACATTTGTATTTGAAACTACGATATTCCCTTTGCCAGTTCTCCTGTCCCCTGCCACATTGTTAGGCTCACTGTAGGCATGCTTGCTGGGTAAATGTCAGGCACACTGATAATGTACTGACAGTGGAGCCAGCATATTGGCAAGAGCAGTGAAATCATCCTGCCTCTGAACGTGTTCCCAGACAGGGCCAATCACAGCAGACGGGGCAGCAACGGAGGGTGGACATTACAGCGCTGTAACACCCGCAGACCAGATGGCGGTGTTGGAGTGAATAACTCTGAAAGATTTTATCGTTATAAAATACTTGAAATGGCTTCTCCATTTTGGCTTTATTTTTGTTAAATCATAGAACCTGGAGCATTTGGGGGGTATGAAGCAGAGCTGGCTGACACTTCTTTCCTGACTTCTAGAAGAAGCAGTAGGAGGCTCTTAATTATCTTGAACATTTTGCTACATTTATTAGGGTAATGTCACCTTTATATTAGTGAATCAATTTAATTTTTTATCATCTTTTTATTAGAGAATGCTCTTGATAGTGTGTATGTATATATAAAATGAGATGGATAGATAGATACAGAGTGGGACAAGAATTCAGAGTAGGGTTTGACAGGTAAAAAATTTATAGTTAAAAAATTTTTTATTGAAGGTACATATAACGGAGTCTTGGGAGATTCCTCACGCCATAGAAACATAGAATGTGACAGCAGATAAGAACCATTCGGCCCATCTAGTCTGCCCAATTTTCTAAATACTTTCATTAGTCCCTGGCCTTATCTTATAGTTAGGATAGCCTTATGCCTATCCCACGCATGCTTAAACTCTTTTACTGTGTTAACCTTTACCACTTCAGCTGGAAGGCTATTCCATGCATCCATTACCCTCTCATTAAAGTAATACTTCCTGATATTATTTTTAAACCTTTGCCCCTCTAATTTAAGACTATGTCCTCTTGTTGTGGTAGTTTTTCTTCTTTTAAATATAGTCTCCTCCGTTACTGTGTTGATTCCCTTTATGTATTTAAATGTTTCTATCATATCCCCTCTGTCTCGTCTTTCCTCCAAGCTATACATGTTAAGATCCTTTAACCTTTCCTGGTAAATTTAATCCTGCAATCCATGACTAACTTCACAAAGGAACAATGAGTAGAAATAGTGGAATTTTATTTTCAAAATTGATCTGAGTGGATATTATCAAGAAATTCCCAGATGAAATTGGCCGCTTCGTTGCTCAACCTTTCAGCTCCCGATTACTTCCTGTGGGGATATCTGAAGGAGTGGGTGTATGTAATCAAACCTCGTGAGAATATCCATGCAGAAATTTGAGCAGTAGTCACAAGCATGAACTAATGATATGAACAATGCAATCGAATGTGCCCTATTTTGCAAGGTGGCAAATGCGTCTCATTTAAAAGATGTTAATATTTATAAAGAGCTGACCAATTCCGTAGTGCTGTACAATAAGTTGACTAACAGACCTGTATTTGCAACAAGACGAGCTGGACGTGCAGAAACAGAGGGTGTTGATGGCCCCGGTCAAAAAAATATCCATTCATTTACCATTCATTGTATGTAATATCATTGAAATTGGTTCATTCATTTAAAAAAGTTAATTACTCACCAAACCCCACTCTGAATTTTGTCCCACCCTTTAGGTATATATATATATAGATAGATGGATATATATAGATATATGTGTGCTAACATCACTTTGTACCAGAAGGGGGCAGTAGACAATAAACAATAGCTTTCACTATTGCATTCTACGCACTTTTCATGTGAACCGTATTGAATGAGCAAATGTCTATAGGCCAGTCTGTCTCCTTCTCAGGAAATCCACTGAGTAGCATTGCTGGGTTGTCAAAACAGCTGCACAATGTCTGCTTGTGTGTGCATGTTTTTGCTTTTTCTGGCTTTCCTGGACAATACTGCTTGCTTGTTACAATAAAGCTTTATGACTAGGTTGTCCTTTTTTGTGTAGAAAACGTAGCCCAGCGTTTATCATAGCGCATTTCATGTACATTTGATATCAAAGTGCTTTTCTAGGTGCCGTTTTTTTTCCATATTAAACCAAACCACACAATCCTTTTAGATCATGCAATGCATCGGTTGTATAAAGCATGTAGCATATTAAAGATGTAAACACTTTTTTAAATCTTTTTATAAGCCCTAGCCCCCTCCTACCTATGGCATGAGCACCCAAGAATACTTGGTTCTCATATTCTGTATAGATTGGAGTCTGCAAAGATTCTGGTGGGTGCAATCTTAAGATTTTAATTGATCAAACTGAGGAGGCTCTGTGCTACAGCAATGTTTAAGAAATGCTCCTGAAAACTCACAATCCCTGATTAGTTTAATCCCAGGGATAACCTGGTTTTGACAGACTAATCTTTAATTGTGCAATAGGAATGGGCCACATATTTACAAATGTATGTCTCTTGTTCATACCTCCAAGTAGTTCCAGTCAGTATGGTCTCTTTTTCTTTGTTGATCTTTCTATAGGGACACCAGAGAAACCTTCTCAATAGGAACATGGCATAGTCTGAGAGCTTCTTAAACTACAACTGAATGGACTACATGGGACTGGCACAGTGTTCACTACCACCTGTCCCACATGAATTCTTCTGTGTCTAAAAAAAGTAAAATCTGAGCTGGGCACTAGTACTCTGGATGTGTCTCTTTTATTGCCAATTTCTATCCTGGTTGCTAGATCAACAGTTTCCCCCTTATGTTTATCACGTCTACATTGTAATGAGCCGTATAGGAAAACTGCAGCCCTGAAGGAGGATCAGTTAACTAATCAAGGCTTTTATCCTAAATTAACTGCTTTAATAAGTTCTGATTTCCACCCTGTAGCCTGTGAATGGTGCATTATACAGTGCAGCCCTTTAAATGGACTGCCCATCAGAAAGAAGCAATGGTGCTCCCTTACTTTACATCCGGCAAGGGATGAATGGGACATTTAGATCAGCACTTGGTAGTTATTTAATTCATATAACACTTTAAATGGTGCAGCTTAGGCTCCCCAGACACTATAGACTCCAGAACTACAACTTAATGTATTTGTACAGATTTCCCTGCAGGCATTTTAATGTTAACACTGCCTATCCGAGAAAAGGCAATGTTTAAATTACTCTCTAGAGACATAAGTCATGCGGCCACAAGAGGTGCTTCCTGAGTCCCGTGCAACGCTGAACTTTCCCAATAGCGATACTTTGATTCAATGCATCTCTATCCGGAGATTCTGATTGGCCAAGCGCAGCGTTGTTGCCGCACGTACACATTAACCTCCCAATGCTTTCCTATGAGTTCATCAGTTTTATGATCTCGGTCAAGGAGGCGGACCCGCCTGGTGCTGGAACAAAGGTATGGTTTTGTACTTCTTTACGGAGGGGCCAGGGGCTAACATGGTTTTTAATACCGTAAGGTCAGGAATACCCGTTTGTATTCCTGACCGTATAGTGTCCCTTTTTAAAGTAACCATTTAGGGTTTTTTTAGTTTTTTATTTGAGTCCATTTCATAAAAGCTGTGAAGGGTCAGATGCATATTGACATGGCTAGATTTTGTCAGTGTCTTCAGCTTGGTCTACATCTAAAACATTCATCCCTTATAGCTAGATTAGTGTCTCAATAGCTTCTTTATTGTAAAAGGTAAAGAATATTTGAGGGTTACCGGTTGCCCAATTTAAGTTTACACCACTAAGTCCTGTAACCCAAGGACAGAGTTAGAAAACCCCTTTTTTGGGGAGCCTCACATTCCCTTCAATATCTGTTAGAAAGGCCTATTGAGTTCAGTTTGCCTGCTTAGCTCTGCAAGCCACAGTCTCCAGTTCCTGTCTGCTGAGAAATGTGTACACATTTATTGCATTTACTAAACAAATGTGTGTGGATTTGATTCACATCGCTCCCCTGATTCAGCTGCTTACTGGAGATTTAGAGGTATAATCTCTAAATTCCAAGATATAGTGAATCTAAAACTAAATGGCGCACTGAAACGGTATACTGAGTGTTCTAGTCTCCAAATTTTCCTAAATTTTACAATCTGAGTTTCAATTTACAGTTCATTGTTTAGTGAATACAACCATCCATGGTTATTGATTTTTGTTTTTACTTTTTGTGTTGCACTTTGTCAGATTATTAAATGGGCGCTAAGCAGTGATTTTGTCCTAATTAGATTAAGTGATCTGGGTACCTATAATGTTTCTATCATATCCCCCCTGTCTCATCTTTCATCCAAGCTATACATGTTAAGATCCTTTAACCTTTCCTGGTAAATTTTATCCTGCAATCCATGACTAACTTCACAAAGGAACAATGAGTAGAAATAGTGGAATTTTATTTTCAAAATTGATCTGAGTGGATATTATCAAGAAATTCCCAGATGAAATTGGCCGCTTCGTTGCTCAACCTTTCAGCTCCCGATTACTTCCTGTGGGGATATCTGAAGGAGTGGGTGTATGTAATCAAACCTCATGAGAATATTCGTGCAGAAATTTGAGCAGTAGTCACAAGCATGAACTAATGATATGAACAATGCAATCGAATGTGCCCTATTTTGCAAGGTGGCAAATGCGTCTCATTTAAAAGATGTTAATATTTATAAAGAGCCGACCAATTCCGTAGCGCTGTACAATAAGTTGACTAACAGACCTGTGTAATAGTGTAACTTGCGCAATAGCAATAGACTGAGCAATGACATGGTCATGGATGTCCTGGAGACCCTTGTTTTGTGTCAAAAAGCTCAAACCATGTGATGTAGAACTAAGAGATGGTTGCAAATTCATTCTGACACTGTGACCGCTTTAATGGATTGTATTGATTAGAGAGCCTCTAGGTATTACTAATGATTGGTCTGATATGTTATCGCATTGTATGCTGCAATCATACATACATACATACATACATACATACATACATGCAATGTCCAATTTGTATGGGAAATAATATTCTCTTTTCAGAGAGCACTGTATTTAGAGAATACTGGTAGTACTTTATCATATGTAAGCAACGGTTTATGGTAAAAAAATAAATAAAATAAAAAATCTTTTTTTTTTTTTTTTAAATTTTATAAATATTTTTTTGCAGGTACCACCTAACTTGCTGATTTTTATATGCATCAATGCCAAGACTGTCCACTTGTGCATATTTAATTAGTCTACATTATGAAACCCGTAGATTTAGAGTTTTTTATTTTTACGTTTATGCATTTATAACGATGTGCTGTTTTATATTGCATCCACTAGGTTTGCTGGGATGGGTAATCTTCTTAAAGTGCTTACCAGGGAAATTGAAAACTATCCACATTTTTTCCTGGACTTTGAAAGTAAGTTTTTTTTTCTGAAGTGTGTTGTCGCAAAGAAAAGTCAAATTTGGTGACCTTTTGTTTTTCTCCTGGGCTGGTCTGATGAACTGGAAACGCACCACAGATGGAACACCTAACCTTTGCACTGGAAACATCCACACGCCTGCATGTTTATGAATATCTCACCCACTTAGCACCTCTTCTTTCTCTTCCTTTTTTCTATTTTCCAGGAACCAAATGGGAAATCTTTTAAAAGTTCTTACATGCACAGAGCTTGATCAGGGGCCAAACTTTTTCCTTGACTTTGAAAGTGAGCAAACCTCTTGCTTGGCTTTTGGTTTCTTTTACTAACGCTCTAACTGCATGTGTTCTGCATGTTTTTTTAAGATTTGCAAACAATCTGTTTCTGTTAGAATGTATCAAAGTTGTTAGACTAAAAGGAGTACAAATTGATTTTGGAAGGTTTTATCATGGCACAGATTTAAGTGCTGATGGCATAGAAAAGTAACTCAAACGTTCATTCTAGCTAACTTTATAAGGCATTTGGTGAGCATATAAAAACCTATTAAACTAAAAAGTTCTAAAATTCCTATTGAAATAAATTAAATGTCAGACTTCCTTCAATGTTCCTGTTAATTGCCTCATTTTTATTTATTAAATGGACACTATATGCATCAGAAAATTTAGGTTTTATGAAACAGTTTTGATGTATAGCTCATGCCCCTGCAGTTTCACTGCTCAGCTCTGTTATTTAGAAGTTGTCACTTCTGTTTCTATTTATTCAGTCCTAGCCACACCTCCCATCCATTGCGACTGACATAGCCTGAATGACAAAATATGGTTTAATTTTCATTCAGATGTTAACTTGCTTTAAAGTGCAATTTACAAAGCAGGAGACGAAAATGTCTAATCACACATAGGAAGCTCCTGCAGGGTCTAGAAGGCTCTAGAGCAGGAGATTAGAAATTCTAAATCAAACAGAATGTGCCATAAAAGAGATTTAAACATTAGATCACTTTACAGGAATGTATAGGAAGGCTGTGTAGGTCACATGCTGGGAGGTGTGATTAGACCTCTATAAACCAAGTGATTTAACTCCTGAATGGCAGAAAAGCTATTTTGGTTCCTATAGAGCCCCTTTAATGCACAACTGTAAACATACATTTATTAAATGAATGCAAGCTGTACTTTGTGCCGGGCGCTAAAACCCTAGGTGAGCTCTAGTCATTCTGTTATTGTAGCCTTGGTAAAGGTTTTTTTTTTTTTGTTTGTTTGTTTTTTTCCAAGCACAGGGTAAAGGGATTCTCCAGTGCCAGGAAAACAAAACTCGTGTTCCTGGCACAATAGAATACTGGAGTGCCTCCCGCCCCCCATCCGACCTTGCTGAATGGGTTAAAAGCCCTTCAGTCACTTGCCTGAATCCAGCGCCGATGTCCCTCGGTGCTGGATCAGGCTCTGCCCTCGCTCCTCCCCGCCACCATGTGTCGGCGGGGGAGGCCTAATGCGCATTCAATGCTTTCCTATAGGGATTCCGGCGACACTGGAGGTCCTTGTGCATAGCGTGAGGAAGTCCAGTGTCGTTTAGATGACCAAAAGTTGTCTAAGAAGCCGTAAGTCCCTCTAGTGGCCCTCTGGTAGACCACCACTAGAGGACGACTTAAAGGACCACTCTAGGCACCCAGACCACTTCAGCTTAATGAAGTGGTCTGGGTGCCAGGTCCAGCTAGGGTTAACCCATTTTTTAATAAACATAGCAGTTTCAGAGAAACTGCTATGTTTATCAATGGGTTAAGCCTTCCCCCTAATCCTCTAGTGACTGTCTCATTATGAATGCTTTCCTATGTGACCGGCTGAATGTGCGCGCAGCTAGCCGACGGGGCAGATTGGAGGAGGAGAGCTCCCCGCCCAGCGCTGGAAAAAGGTAAGTTTAAACCCCTTTCCCCCTTCCAGAGCCGGGCGGGAGGGGGTCTCTGAGGGTGGGGGCACCCTCAGGGCACTATAGTGCCAGGAAAACGAGTATGTTTTCCTGGCACTATAGTGGTCCTTTAACCCTGCAAGGTAAATATTGCAGTTTATAAAAACTGCAATAATTACCTTGCAGGGTTAAGAGTGATGGGAGTTGGCACCCAGACCACTTCAATGAGCTGAAGTGGTCTGGGTGCCTTTAATGTTCCGCAAACTGGAAATGCGTTTTTGGTGACTATCAAAGATTTCAAATACCAATTGGGTTTAATAAAAAAAAAATCTCCACCTCTCTGGCTCACTCAGCCCAATTTAAGATTGCTGCAGATCTTAAATTCTACATGCATGGCTTTTGCATGTTCTTGTTTTGCATGTTTCAAAATCTGTGAATTTTGTTTGTTAATGTGTTAATGCAGACATGTTTCGGTTATATATTTTTTATATATGTTTTTACATTGATTTCAAATTTAATTTAATTTGCCCTTTGTTTTCAGGCTTTTGAATATTCCAAGTCTATGGATTGTGTGTTTGATTTGAAATGCTTGTTGCATGGTCTTGCCACTAATATGCATGTGTCATGGTAAAATCTGTTCGATCATCGATGTAACACACGTTGCACAATATTTGTGTTTTTCTTTACTGATCCTCAATGTACGCAGTATCTGTTTATATTTCATGCATTGTAAAAGGGACCATTTCTTCTTATAAAATTATGTGAAACAGGAAATGTACATTAGGGAGGGAAACACAGTGGTGTGACATCTAATCGTAGGGTATTATTGCTGTGCTGAAAGCATCAGGTTATAGATTTTGCAGTCAGTCAGTGGCTCTGTCCAACACTGATCAGACTTAATGAGTGGATCTGTTCTTGGGGGATTAACTAGTTATGCCTTAATCCCCAGTTCTGATCACTGGAACTGCTATATATTCCATAAAAACTTGCTGAGCAGGAGTTTACGGGGTAAGAATAAGACCATCCTCATTACAGCTTTTTCTTCCCAGTGAGGAGAGATCAGTCTGTAGATGCAGGCAGCTACTGTAAATTATGAAGCTATAAGATTTCTGATGGTGAGAGTTTTTTTTTTGTTTTTGTCTTTTTTTTTTTTTTGGTCTATTTTCTTATGCACGATCTATGTAATGTAGTGTGTATAGTTTATTTTTTTAATTACCCCATCATTTAAATTTATGTCAAATATAAATATATATATTACACACACATTAACTACAACAGGCGTTCCCGGACTCTCTCATCATAACCTGTCAAACCGCTTTACCATGGTTTGGCACTGGCCTGGATTCGCTGAGCAACATTGCTGCTTCCAGTCTTCTAGAGCTGTAGAAGGTAGTTGTTGATTTGAGCAGGATAGAAGCTGATTCGACAGTTCAACAAAGTAGACAGGCACTCACCCAAAGGAAACTCCAAAATAGAAATGCATTTCTGCCAAACTGGATTTATATGTTGATATGTTTTATTCAGTCACCTTGGGTAACAGGCAATATTTTGCCCCTCCTAGTAAAACCAAGAACTATTTGTCTGAATGGGTGCCTGGCTAACGCTCACTCATACAGCAAGCACAGAGATGAAGGAATGCAGAGGTGCTGAACACACAACCCAAACTTTGGGGTAAAAGTTAAGGCAAAATTTCACATGCGGTATTGGTAATTTTGCTATGGAACATATTATTACAAATTGTAGGATGGCACTGTAAACCGTTGAGTTAAAGTTATAAGAGAAAAGAGGACTGTGTTTGAGATACAAGTATTTCAAAGGAACTGGTCTTTTTAAAACTTAAACAGAGAATGGATAGTGTAATGGATCACCTGGCACCCTAACTGGGTACCTCTGTTGATGGATGCTCCTTGTGCTTCCCGAGGGCTCCAAGCACTCCACTTGACACCATAAGCACTGCAGACCCTACAAACTGCTGCAGCTTGGTCTCGCCGTCTCCTACCCACCCTGGGCCTACGACAAGGCTCCAGGTTCCAGTGGGTGAACCTCTTTCCCCAGAAAGTTAAGCAGGAACAGGAACAAGCTCTTACAAGACCTTAGTGATTATTCAAGGGAGTGTGAAGAGCATAGCAATCCCTTGTAGCAGATTCCCCCAATAAGAGACAGGACTCTAGATTGAGGGTGAAGTAGAACTGCAGGTTTAATGGTACAGCTGCTTCTTTTATACAGTTTTTCCCCCACAAGGTTACCGCCCAGGTGGACCTTGTGGGACACAGGACATGAAATTCACAATCCAATAAAAACAGAATTTTACACTTGAACACTCCCAGTTACTGTACACAAACCCTCCCCTTTGCCTGTAATACAATTAACAAAGACAATGGACTAACTCAATTACCCACAGGTAGAAAACACACACATTTTTATCCAAAGAACAGAAACACCCCAACACACTAACATATCCCTGGAAAGCTCTGATCTGGGTGAACAACATATCCAAAAATCACCCAGATCAGAGCAGGGGTTCAGGAAATTCCTGGAAGTCTCTTTTGACCGACCGCACGCACATTTTCATGCCCAAAACAGTTCCAGAGAATTAGGCTGTGCGGCCGGTCTATTTCCAATACTAAGTTCAGTTGGAATGCACGAAAGGGGGTTGTTAGTGCAAATAGCCAATGTTAAAGTGGCCTTTGAATTGTTGAACGCTGTTCGACTCCCATCGAAGTTCTGGAGAAGGTAAAGTTCAGTGGTGTTCGTGCCGTTGCGTGTCCGATTTGAGTCCCGTGAACTCGATGACAAAATACTGCTGAATACGTTCGACTAAACAAGATGGTCTCCGCCACTAGTTCGACTATACGAACGGCGACCAACCAACCGTTCGTCAATTTGGCTGCAGTTAACTCCAAGCCTGGGAGGTAAATTGGCTGCACACTCCACTGGTGTGTGTTCTGGCTGTTCGGTAGTTCGAAGTTCCACTTCGACCACTTCAAAAATTTTAAAGGGGCATTGTGCCAAGTCCCAATATGCACAAATAGTAGTTTTAATCACCGTAAATTAAAGGGACCACAGTCACAGGGCAGGAGGCTGGCAAGCAGTCCCCTCCAAAAACTTATGGCAAACTCCCTTAAAAAGGAGTTTGTCACAGATGGCTTACAAGAGAATGACTTGAGTCAATCAAGGAACAATTTCATAAATACCCACATTCAGAGTGTTAAAAGCACTATAGAATTTTTTTTAAAGAATCTGTGAAGACAATTGTGTAAAGTCTATCGGTAGTTTATTGGATGCATTTGGTTAAGGCTGTTTCAGTAGAATGTAAGGATTACTAGATTCTAAAGCAGGAGATTTGTTACATGAATTATACTGGCTGTGACTGTATATAATCATGTTTTCGTGAAAGAAGATATGTATTGTTCAGCAGCCTTGCTTTATCAGACCTTTTGGTATTTTCTCGACTCCTATAATGTATGTATGCAAGTTCCTCTATAATCAAATGTACTCTCTCTGAATGGGCCTTCTTGGTTACTTTAATTTCTTGGCCTTAGTACACAGGGGTGTTTTGACTATATTAGAAAAGCCATACTTGTCAAAAATGCTTGCATTGTTTCAAGCCTAGCAAAGACTGCCAAGACATTTAAGTGTAGGCGAATAGAGGGTCCTTTTAGGACCGCTCCATTGCCAGTATCAGTTGCCCTCATGTTCCTTTTAATTTGTGTTTTTTTTTTTTTTTATATATATATATATATATTTTTTTTTGAGTGGTCCTGATTTAAACCTCCGTAAACATATAGAAATGCAGAGAAATAGTATGGCTTTAATAAATCATGTCAGATTGCGTTCTCTGTTCCAATCAATGCATACATGCGCAAGTTAAACTAGCGGTATTTGTTGTTGTTGTTTTATTGCCAAGAGTATATGATTTCTGAATAATATTTGTACAGGCAGTACAGACCTGGATTCCCCTTCTAACATTATTTAATGATCATATTGGCATAGATGTGCTGTCGAAAGGTGCATTTTTCTTGTTGTTTTTTTAACACTTACAAACCACCACTATAGTCTTTCTTTATAATAAGGGCCTTAAAGGAACAGTAATGAGATAATGTTCCAGATTTACGTGGTTATTCAACTTACAATTGTCAGGAAATTCAAGTGATTGTTTGTATTCTATGTATTCAAATTAGCTACTTTAGACCCCGATTTGACAGTTGCTTTAAATTCCTGGCAATTTACATTGCACTCAAACTTGCTCTGAATACATATCCGTATTCCACTTTCAGTGCTAAATGGTACAGAACCTTGCTAGTAAAGGCTATCGTTTCCCATCATTAAAGAGGGTGAAACAAAGAAACATTTAATAAAGTGGTATCCAAGAGGTATGCCAGACCTCCACAGCATCTTTATGTCCCTTACTGGCCTTTAACATTTCTTGTGCAGCAGTGATTATGGCATAAGAAATCATTGGTCGCTTGTTGTAGTGATTTGGAGCAAGAAACCTTATTGTATGAAGGAAGCCTTCCTTGCTTATGTGTACAGTCTGCAAAATAGTGTAACACGAACACAGATACCAAAGCCACCGTCCATATAATACATTCATTCAATTTACTTTTATTTTTCGTAATGCTATCTGTGTTTATGATCCATAATATTGATGGATCTTTTATGTGAAAATAAGAATGTTAAGGTCATAGGTTATGATCTTAATATACCATTGACCAACCATCATATAAACATAAACATGTTTTGGCATAAACATGTTTTAAAACCATATCTTTGCTGGCCGAAATGAGGTTGGGAATCTGACAAGTGACAGTGGTTTGTCTAATATTCTATGAGGGAGCCCAATTTAAAAAAAAAAAAAAAAAAATGAATTCTTATTTGTACTAGCTGTATAGTAATTATCTCTCACATTACAAATAATTAAACAATTTCTCTTAAAGCTAATTGACTTCTCTTTTTCTAGATGCTCAACCTACTGAAGGAGAAAGGGAGGTGTGGAACCAGGTCAATGCAGTTTTGCAGGAGTCCGAAAGTATTCTTTACGATCTCCAGGCTTACAAAGGCGCTGGACAAGAAATAAGAGATGTATGCCTTACGTAACCAGTCAAAATGAAAATCTAAATATCACAGTGTGAAAGTCTTCATATCAAATCAATGTTTATGTACAAACCTAGTTATACGTGTAATGGTGATAGCAGTGAAACGCCCTCTACTTTTAAAACGTATAAAGCACATTGTAGCACATTCAATACAGAAAAAATGGTATTTTTTGCGTGTGTGTGCCATTTCATTATTATGAAATAATAAAAGCGCCTACAAATTATGCAACGCTGCTCATTCGGTCAAAATCACTGAGCAATTGTAGCGCCCCTTGTGTTCTTTCCCCACCCCCTCCCCTGTCCCAGTGTTCCCCCCTCCCCTGTCCCAGTGTTTCCCCCTCCCCTGTCCCAGTGTTTCCCCTCCTCCCCTGTCCCGGTGTCCCAGTGCCTCCCCTGTCCCTGTTTCCCTCCCCTCCCGGTGTTTCTCCCCCTGTCCCGTGTTTCCTCCCTCCCTGTCCCGTCCCGTGCCTCCCCTGTCCCGTGTTTCCCTCCCCCCTGCCTCCCTCCCTTCCCAGTGTTTCCCCTTCCCCTTTCCCAGTGTTTCTCCTTCCCTTCCTTTTCCTGGTGTTTCTCCCCCTTTTCTCCCGTAGTTTTCCCCTTCCCGGTAAGCCTTCCTTCCCAGTGTTTCCTTCCCCTTTCCCAGTGTTTCCCCTCTTTCCCTTCCCTTTCCCAGTGTTTCTCTTCCCCTTTCCCAGTGTTCCCTTCCCTTTCCCCCAGTGTTTCTCTCCCTTTCCCCCTTCCCCCCTTTCCCAGTGTTTCCTTCCCTGTCCCAGTGTTTCCCTTCCCTCCCTGTGTTTCCTTCCCTGTCCCAGTAAGCTTCCTTCCCTGTCCCAGTGTTTCCCCGCCCCAGTGTTTCCTCTCATCCCAGTGTTTCCCCGGCCCCAGTGCTTTCCCCTGCCCCAGTGTTTCCCCCCCGCCCCAGTGTTTCCCCCGGCCCCAGTGTTTCCCCCGGCCCCAGTGTTTCCCCGCCCCAGTGCTTCCCCGCCCCAGTGCTTCCGCCCCGTGCTTCCGTCCCAGTGTTTCCCCGCCCCCAGTGTTTCCCCGCCCCAGTGTTTCCCCGGCCCCAGTGTTTCCCCGTCCCCAGTGCTTCCCCCTCGGCCCCAGTGTTCCCCCGCCCCAGTGTTATCCCCCCCAATCCCCTGTCCCATGGTGTTATCCCCCCATCCCCTGTCCCATGGTGTTATCCCCTGTCCCATGGTGATATCCCCCCCATCCCCTGTCCCATGGTGATATCCCCCCATCCTGTCCCATGGTGGTGATATCCCCCCATCCCCTGTCCATGGTGTGTTATCCCCCATCCCCTGTCCCATGGTGTTATCCCTCCCATCCCCTGTCCCATGGTGTTATTGTATTTTCTAAAGTCGCTCCTTCGTGTAAAATGTTCTGAAAACCTCTGGGTTAAAACGAGACATGGTTGATGTATGCTTGTTTTATTACTCCAGAATATGTAGCTTAATTATTTAAATTGAAATAATCATGTATAATACCTGTGTGTACTTTGCAGGCTATACAGAATCCAAATGGAATGCAACTCCAGGAAAAGGCATGGAATTCAGTATGCCCGCTAGTAGTGAGACTGAAAAGATTTTATGAATTTTCCTTAAGACTTGGTAAGTTATTGGACACGCTACCTCTCCCCTTCACACGCACACACTATAGCACGTATATAAGAAATTACTCACAGGAGTGCACAGAAAAACCTAGCAAAGCATCAACATAATACATTCAAAGTAGCAAAGCTACAATCATTGTCAGGCAGATTTTGCCAGTAGTTTTTCAGAAACTGCCATGTTTATATTTCAGGGTTAAGTCTGCCTCCAGTGGATGTCATACTAAAAGACACTTTGGGCACTTCTGCTGAATTGACCAATTAAAAAGGTTACATGACATGGAGGCACTCATTGGAAAGCATTGAATCAATGCTTGCCTATCGGGAAGCTTAAATATTAATGTGGCTCTCGCAGAGCTTGTAAATTAGGGCCCCAGTGCTCCTCAATCAGAAGCATTGGGTTGGACCACCCTGGAAAAGTTGTGACTTCACGGACCGCAGACGGAATCTACAGAAAAATATGTACAAATTGTGTAAACAAAAACAAATTCTTCCTGAAAAGAGTGTAAATGCCATAAATCATCAATACAATTGCTTTCATTAATTGCTGCTTAGCAGTATGTGTCGGCTAAGAAAGAGGTCATTTTAGGTTTTTATGCAAGGTTTAAGAGCATTACCAGGCGACCAACAGGAGTTTCAAAGAAGCAAAGTAATTGGTTCCTGAATTCCAGTTAGTCACAATTGCAATTGATCATGGTAAACCTAATAGAGAAGACACTGAGTTGTTTAAACAAAGATATGTTATAAGATCGTAGATGATAGAACACAATGTTTATTATTTTATGGTTTTGAACATACTCAAATATGACAGCCCGTGGACAAAAGTGCATTAACGCCAGCATTAGGCTTAGGGTCGAACTAATCAAATTCCTTTTATTGTACGCCCGAATAAATCAATCCATCCTGGATTTACCTTGTGGAATCTTATTCGTTGAAGACAACTCCACAGGTAAATCCAAGACACATCGATTTGTTCTGTTGTAGAGTAAAAATAATTGAATTTGTTCAGTACTAATCAGTATTAGCAAGATGTCAGCAATAGAGGCAGACACACGTAGTTAACAAGGAATTAAACCAGCATATACGTGTGGCATATATACCTTATGTGATGTTAAAGCCACAGCACCGTATATAAAAATGGCGCACCCGTCCATCCAGTTGAACTTAAAGGAACGCTATAGTCACCTAAATTACTTTAGCTAAATAAAGCAGTTTTAGTGTATAGATCATTCCCCTGCAATTTCACTGCTCTATTCATTGTCATTTAGGAGTTAAATCACTTTTTTGCTGTTTATGCAGCCCTAGCCACACCTCCCCTGGCTATGATTGACAGAGCCTGCATGAAAAAGAAAAAATTGGTTTCACTTTCAAACAGATGTAATTTACCTTAAATAATTGTATCTCAATCTCTAAATTGAACTTTAATCACATACAGGAGGCTCTTGCAGGGTCTAGCAAGCTATTAACATAGCCGTGGATAAGAAAATCTAAATTAAACAGAACTTGCAATAAAGAAAGCCTAAATAGGGCTCTCTTTACAGGAAGTGTTTATAGAAGGCTGTGCAAGTCACATGCAGGGAGGTGTGACTAGGGTTCATAAACAAAGGGATTTAACTCCTAAATGGCAGAGGATTGAGCAGTAAGGCTGCAGGGGCATGTTCTATACACCAAAACTGCTCCATTAAGCTAAAGTTGTTCAGGTGACTATAGTGTCCCTGTAACTGTTAATATACAGCTGTAGCATAAAACCAGTGCTAAGCCGAGAGCAAAATACTGTATTGCTCTGATTGGTCTTTCCTTTATTTATTCATTTTCTCCTGTTATATTTTTCATTCTAGAGAAAGCTTTGCAGAGCTTACTGGAATCTTTAACCTGCCCGCCATATACTCCTACACAACATCTAGAGCGAGAACAGGCTCTTGCTAAAGAGTTTGCTGAAATTCTGCATTTTACTCTACGTTTTGATGAACTGAAGGTATTAAGAAACATGTACCCGGGTATTACAGAATACATGATGCAATTTGGAATCGAATTATTCCATCATTTTATTTGTGTTTGCAGATGAGAAACCCAGCAATTCAGAACGACTTTAGTTATTACAGGCGGACAATAAGTCGTAACAGAATAAACAACATGCATGTGAGTATGTGGCTCAAGTCTTCCCAGTTATTACTTTTTCTTTTTCTTTTTTTTTAAAGCAATGAGTTAGGTTTCAGAGATTAAAGGCATAGGAAATATTTGAATAGACTATAAAAAGCTCTCTGTATAGTCGTGGTTACTGGGAAAAGGTCACCTTGTGTGTCATATAATTGTATAATGAATTGCCTGTTGAAAGTGAAAGGCCAAGAAGTTTGTGAAATAAACCAAATGAAGTCTTTCTGGAAAACTGGAGACAATCTGAGCACATTTCATTTCCTGGGTTTCACCTTACACTTTCAAAGTCTGTAGGAATTCAACCGTTGGTCTACTTTACTCCATCTTTTACTTAACATAACTGTCAGTGATGTTTACGGTATGTGTAGAGCGTAAAACAAAAAAGTAAAAAAACCTATACATTGTGAAAGTGCAGTTGCAAGCAACCATGCAGATGAACTTAAAAATGTTAGTTTGGCATTGATATTTTTCAGCAAATGAATAACGACATTCTAATTTACCTCTTTGCGTTCATATGGATAATGCAGTTATGAGAAAAGTGTTTGAGGTCTATGACTGCTTGGAAATTCTCGTCTTTTTTACATTAAGCTTTTTCCTATTTTGCTGCTTCAGTAATGTGCTAATTACCCAGGATCCCCACTGTCTGCACCATGCTGAGTGGTCCGTTGCCAACATATTACTATAATTAGTAACTAAACTTCGATTATATCACAAAAAGGTCTGAAAATGACCGTTTTTTTTTGTTTTTTTTCAGTGCCTCATGTCTTGTAGATAAGTGCTTCAAAAATCTTTTCAGAAAGCATAGAAACCTGCCAATTATGCACTTGAAAATAACTGATTGCTAGCAAAATCGGTACTCTCCATACAAAGTATTAAATAGAACAGAGTATGCGAGAGCAAAGTCACTCACATATTTTGTGCGATAGATGCTTGTAAAATGTGATGTCAGTGCATGTTTTCCCGGCTGTTTCAACAGCCTTCAGCTGTTCATTCCTTGTTTGAAATTAAAAGCTGAAGGTTGCTTACTTGGTTTTTCTGCATAATTTGTTTGCAAAAATTTAGATTTTTTTTATTTTATTTTTTTTAAGGAAATCTTTAAAATGTATGTAAGTTGCCTAAATGGTTAGTGTTCGTTTGCCTAACCTTTCTTATTTAGTAGTCTCCCAGTGATATCAGTATAAACGTCTCGACTGTGTGATCTGTGTTTATAGGATAAGATCAATACTGCTGTAGAAAGTTAGGTATACACCAAGTTGTTGTTGATTTTTATTTATATCGATTTAAGAATCCAATATATGCAAAAATAAATAATGAAAATAATCCTATTTAAAGTCCCAGCATTCACTGCATATTCCCAGGCTATACAGTACCTGCTGTGAGCACTCACCAAACCAGGAAAAGGTTCTGCTAACTGCGAAGTTCATTTAAAATAACTTTATGTAAATTTAATCATTTAGAACTTAATTTTTATTTTGTCTTGATCATGAACAAATACTTGGCAAAATAGCATTTTGTTAACTAGAAGCACTAGGTAAATGAACCCTCACCTTGCAAAATATAAGCTTCACTTCCTTACTAGTTTGAGTTTAAAAAACTCTTGCTTTCCTATGGGGATTTCATGGACGTTTGTCCTCCTGCAGTGCCTCTAGTGGTTGTCTAATTGATAGCCACTAGAAGCAGTCTTAGTCCTGCAATGTAATTATTGCAGTTCCTCAGAACCTGCAATAAGTAACATTACAGGGTTAAGGGGACAGGGTCACTGCACCCACACCACTTCAATGAGCTGAAGTGGTCCCTTTAATGCCAAACTCTTTCAACTTTTTGAAGAAAAAAATAAATAAAAGACAAAGCGTTTAACCCCTTAACAACGAGTGACGGACAAGGTCCATCACTCAGGGGATTGCCATAACGACGAGTGATGGACCTCGTCAGTCACCTGTTAAAATTAACGCGAACGCGGGGTTAATGGTTCTCCGGTCTGATAGTGCTGCTCCATGTCAGAGCGAGCACATGTGCTTAGTATACTTACCTTCCGCCTCCCTGCACTTCCTGGTTCTGTGTGAAGTGCAGGGAGCTCGAACAGTGCTGATCCTGCCCCCTGTTAAAAAATAAAAATAAAGTTTATTTAAAATCCCACCCCCTTTTACTAATTTTAATTAAAAATTAACCCCTTCCCTGCCAATTGATCACTGACTACAGTGATCAATTGGCAGGGATTACATTTTACTGTCATCTGATTTTTTTTTTTTAACCCCTCAGGGGTTAAATTTATTTAATTTAAATATTTTTAAATTATATATTTAGCTAGCTGGGGTGGGTGGAAGTTAGTGGGGAATTGGGGGATTTTGTGTTAGGATAACTAGGGGTTAACGTTAAAAGTTTTTAAATAAACTTTACAAAGTTAAAAATTAAGCTAAAAAAAAGTTGTAATAACGTTAAAATAAAAAAAACACCCCGCTTTACCCAGTCCAAATAAAAATTAACCCCTTCCCTGCCAGTCGATCACTGCCTACAGTGATCAAAATACAGATCACAGTATTATGCTGTGATCTAATCTTTTTTAACCCCTGAAGAATTAACTTTTATTTATTTTTTAACCCTCAGGGGTTCAATTTAATTAATTTAAATATTTTATAATTATATATTTTGCTAGATGGGGTGGGTGGGAGTTATGGGAAAATGGGGAATTTACTGTTAGTGCTGCTTACTGCTAGTTAGCGGTTATCGGTAAAAAAAAAACGTAGAAAAATGTAAAATCTGTAAAAAAAAAAAAATAAAAAAAAATAATTTTTTAGAAAGTTTAGGAAAGTTTTAAAAAATTAATAAGCGAAACAAAAGTTAAAAAAATTGTTTTTAAAAGTAAAAAAGTTTAAAAAAGTAAACAAATACCATATATACTCGTGTATAAGTCGATCTCCTGTATAAGTCGAGGGCAGTTTTGTGACCAACAATTGTGAAATATGCTATGCCTCGTGGATAAGTCGAGGGTAAAACTTGGGGCTATGAAATTCTGTGATTTTATACACACTCATACAAACACACACTCATAAACAATCTGCATTCTACACACACACACTCTGCATTATATACGCACACACTCTGTGTGTATATAATGTAGAGTGTGTGTGTGTGTGTTTGTATGAGTGTGTGTTTGTGTGTATGAGAACTGGGTGGAAGGAGGGCATTTTTATTATTAATTTTTTATTTTAATTTTTTTTATTTTTTTTTATTTGAATATTTAAGTTTTTTTTCTATTTTAATATTTTAAGTTTTTTATTTTAATAGTTTTTATTGTATTTTTTTTTTTTGTATTTATTTTTAATTTAATTTAATTTTCGTCCCCCCTCCCTGCTTGTTAGCTTGCCAGGGAGGGGGGCTCTCACTCCCTGGTGGTCCAGTGGATGGGCTGTGTAGGAGGGGGGCTGACAGTGAGCAGTTACTTACCTTTCCTGTGGCTCCTGTCAGCTCCCTTCTCCTCCGTGCAGCTCTTCTGTCAGCTCCCACTGTAAGTCTCGCGAGAACCGCGGTGACCCTGCGGCTCTCGCAAGACTTTCAGTGGGAGCTGTCAGAAGAGCTGCACGGAGGAGAAGGCAGCTGACAGGAGCTGCAGGAAAGGTAAGTAACCGCTCACTGTCAGCCCCCAACAGGACCGCCGGGCTTGTAATGAGCCCGGCGGTCCTTGTCTGTATTATGGCAATGTATGTTGCCATAATACAGACATTAACTCGAGTATAAGTCGAGTGGGGGTTTTTCAGCACAAAAAATGTGCTGAAAAACTCGACTTATACTCGAGTATATACGGTAAATTTAAAAATGCTCATTACCACTACACCTGGAACAAACTAGAGAAAAAATTATCCCACGCTAAGGTTCAAAAAATGCCTTTTGAATTACCCCAGGGTGTATTCTTTAATAAATAGCATGTGTTTGTGGGGAAGTTTCAATAACCAACCATCTAAACTACTCCAAATTGGAACATGGACACCGCGTAAAACTTCAAAGTTAGAAAAAAACTAAATGGCTGCGTCTCAAATGTGCCCCTTTAACATCCACATATACCTGGCACAGGTACATATGGGGGTATTGCTGTACTCAGATGACATAGCTGAGCAACATATGAAGTATTATACAGTCGTAGCACACATAAGGTTTGCAAAATATACTGTGCAAACTCACTTTGTGTGTCAAAAAGGCAGAAAAAAAATGCTTATTACCACTACACTTGGTACAAGCTAGCAGAAAAATGATCCCATGCTAAGGTTCAAAATATGCCTTTTGAAATACCCTGGGGTGTCTTCTTTAAGAAATGGTATGGCTTTATGGGGTATTTGGATTATATAGCCTGGTAAAATACTCTATAATGGGACATGGGCACAGCGTAAAAATGTAAAGTTTGAAAAAAACTGCAATGGCTGTGTCCCAAATGTGCCCCTCCTATGTCCACATATACCTGGCAAAGGTACATACTGGGGTATTGCTGTACTCAGCCGACATAGCTGAGCAACATATTAAGTATTATACACTGGTAGCACACATAATGTTTGCAAAATATACTGTGCAAACTCACTTTGTGTGTCAAAAAGGCAGAAAAAAACGCTTATTACCACTACACTTGGTACAAGCTAGCGGAAAAATGATCCCACGCTAAGGTTCAAAATATACCTTTTGAAATACCCTGGGGTGTCCACTTTAAGAAATGGTAGGCCTTTGTGGGGTAGTTTGAATTTAAACCCTGCTAAGATGCTTGGAAATTGCACATAGGCCCAGCGTCAAAATTCGAAGTTCGGTAAAGGCTTGGTATCCTATATGGCACTGTAGCTTCACGAAATAGTGCCAAAGACATTCATTGGCGGTGTCTTTTTACTCAGAAGACTTAGCCGAGCATAATTTGGGGGGTTTGAACTTATTGGCAAATGTGAAATATACAAAATGCCCAGCAAAAATGCAATCCATGTGTAAAAAAAATGCACAAAATTATTTTTTATCACATACTTTAGCATATATTGGTGAACAAATGGGGGCATGTTAAGGCACAATATGCACCTTATGGGATACCCTGGAGAGTCTACTTTTACAAATGGTAGGCCTTTGTAGGTTTTTTTGAACAGTTAAACTGGTATAATACCCAAAAAAGGAGCATAGGCTCATTAAATCCATCTCTCAAAATTCTACTGTGAATACTGAAAAGGACAGGTCTCCTATATGGCACTGTACCTTCACGAAATAGTGCCAAAGACGTACAATGGGGGTGTCATTTTACTCAGCATATGTAACTGAACACAAAATAAAACTTTGTACAGGAATAGCACACACCAACTTTATAAAATACACATGAGAATTTCTTTGTTATAAGTTTGTGTGCCAAAAACCAAAAAAAACACAATTTTACTCCAATATTTAGCAGAGGTTGGCGGTGAAATGGCTACGTAGAAAGTGTCAAAACAACACTAGGTAAATAGCCTGTGATGTCTACTTTATGTAAATATATACTTTTGTGTGGCAATTTTGTTTTCTTTTATGGCTATTAAGCTTATAAGACAAACATACCAAATTCTAACATTGCTCCACATTAAAAGTTTATTTTACTCCTTGTGCTTTGTGACCTGTAACTACCAAAAAAAACTTAAAATCCCAGATACATTATATATTCTGTAAATCAGAACTAAATTAATTTATTTTTAATTACTTTCCTTAACGTGCACTAATTATGCACACATTATTGCAAAAACTGTGGAAAAAAAAAAATATATATTTTTTTTGAATTTTTCTGTCTTTTTTTATAATAAATAAGCATTTATATATATGTCGTACATCAAATTAAAGCCCTTTTTTGTCCTTTAAAAAAACGGTATATAATATGTGTCGGTGCAAGAAATTAGTAAAATGCAAATTGCAGTTGAACGCAAACAGCAAAAAATGAAAAAAAATGCTGTTGTCATTAAGTGAAAGACAAGCTTCTGAAGCTCTGTCCTTAAAGGACCACTATATTCTATCACATTGGGAATGTTCAACCCCCGCCGGCGCCTGGTACGCCACATCTATGTAATGGCCCAAAACCCTCATGAGCGGCTACAGAGCCACGTAATATTACACTTTTTACACATATAAGAACAACTAACGTGAGACACAGACTAGTATGTCCTATGTCTTCTGTTTTATATATACACTTCTTAAATCTTGCACCCACCTGAGAGGGTGCACCAAGATTGTCTCATATATATTACTACTTAATGTCATGTTTAATCCTTATTCTTATGCATTGGATGACTGTATATTACTATTCAAACCAGTGGAGATTTCTCCACAACAAAAATAAAGAATTAAAAAAAAAAAGGACCACTATAGGCACCCAGACCACTTCAGCTTAATGAAGTGGTCTGGGTGCCAGGTCCAGATAGGATTAACACTTTTTTTTTTTTTTTTTATAAACATAGCAGTTTCAGAGAAACTTATATGTTTACACTGAGGGTTAATCCAGCCTCTAAAGCCTCTAGTGGCTGTCTCATTGACAGCCGCTAGAGGCGCTTGCGTGCTTCTCACTGTGGAAATCACAGTGAGAAGACACCAGCGTCCATAGGAAAGCATTATGAATGCTTTCCTATGAGACTGGCTGAATGCGCGTGCGGCTCCTGCTGTGCATGCGCATTCAGCCGATGACGTCGCTATGAAGGAGAGGAGGAGGAAAGCTCTCCGCCTGGCGCTGGAGAAAGGTAAGTGTTTAACCCCTTCCTCTCGCCAGAGCCCGGCGGGAGGAGGACCCTGAGGGTGGGGGCACCCTCAGGGCACTATAGTGCCAGGAAAAAGAGTCCATCTTGTCCTTCTGTGAGGATTATTCATATTGTGGCTATGTGACCTTACCTTTTTAAATTGCTTTTTTTTTTCTCCAAGGTTCACACTGTGTAGAAAACCCTGATTTAATTTTATATTCTAAAACCTATATATTGCTTACTTGAAAATGTATTTGCTTGTGCTCCTTCCTAACACTAGATTTCTTGTTTTTAATAGTTAGATATTGAGAATGAAGTAAACAATGAAATGGCCAATCGAATGTCCCTTTTTTACGCAGAAGCTACGCCAATGTTAAAGACCCTTAGCAATTCTACAACAAACTTTGTGTCTGAAGTGAGTTACTGATATCCTCTATAGACAGAGTTCATTTCAATACTTTTTTTTATTTTTTTTTTCTTCCTCAAAGAAACTGTAATAAAATATATATTTTTGTGTTTTCAACCCCTGTAGAATAAAACGTTACCCATCGAAAATACCACCGATTGCTTGAGTACAATGGCCAGTGTATGTAAAGTAATGCTGGAAACTCCGTAAGTTTATTTTTGCATGTACGTATTTTGTTTGTTTGAGATATTAAATTATAAAAAAAAAAAAAAAAAGGATCTGGCACTTGAGGAAGACTATACAGTTAAATTGCCCAATGCATCATTTTCAGACCGTACATCACGAACAACCGCTGCGTTCTGGAATTGTGTGCAGAAAAAAAAGTATACTGTTGAATTTATTTGATCATCCTCTTTATTTCTTATTTTTTTTATGTAATACAAGGTTTTTAGTTTTTCATAAATGGGGAATACGACGATTAGTCTTTGATCCAGTGATTGTTTTCCCTGCTGGAGTAGTCACAATGCCAGTGTGAACCAACTTGGATACCAAGTAAAGTCAACCTTTTAGTATTTTTACAAAAAGCATATTTCAGAGTCTTGCCGTTACATACAGACAATGACTGTTATCCCGTCTGGGATGAAGTATCCTGTGTTGATTATCCAGTTGATATCTATAGTTAGACTGGATGGAAAGCTTCAGCAGGCAGGAATTCCATGTGGCAGTTTTCTAAACATTTAGGAGACATTATTTTTAGTGTATAACGCTAGTGCCATCTTTGATCTATTACATAAATTATTAACCCTAGGTTTTCCCTCCCATGTGAAATGTTTCTTAATGGGATAGATCAGAAATGCATTTTATTCAGTGAGGGTGACAGAAGTGATATTTTAGAACAGCTGAAATATTAGATTATATTTGTTTCACTGCATCAGAACTGACCAGGAATATTATGTAGATTGTATCTGTTTAACATGTCAGGAGGTCCCCGGTTTGTAAGCTGTTTTAAAATGAATAATTTGTATTTTGTTTGGTTTTTAATTGGCAGAGAATACAGAAGTCGGTTTACAAGTGAAGACACTCTCATGTTCTGTATGAGAGTAATGGTTGGTGTCATCATACTTTATGACCATGTGCATCCAGTTGGTGCTTTCTGCAAGACATCAAAGATTGATGTAAGAAGAAAATTCAGTTGATTTTGAAGTACAAGTGTCTGTTTACAGAATACAAAGTTTGGAATATACGTAACGTGCCAAAATAAAAAAATTGAAATGGACACTATAGTCACCAAAATACTTTTGCTTAATAAAGCAAATGTTGTGTATAGATCATGCCTCTGAGGTTTTACTGCTCAATTCACTGCCATTTAAGAGTTAAATCACTTTCTTTCTATTCATGCAGCCTTAGCTACACCTCCTCTGGCTGTGACTGACACAGCCTGCATTTAAAAAAATGGGTTTCATTTTCAATCGGATGTAACTTACTTTAAAAGTTTTTATCTCCTGCTCTGTAATTTGTACTTGAATTACAGGATGGAGGATCCTTCAGGGTCTTGCAAGTTATTAACAGAACAGGAGGAAAGAACTTCTCAATTAAACAGAATTTTCGATAAAGGAAGTGTAAAAGAATCACTCTACAGGAAGTGTTTAGGAAGGCTGTGCAAGTCACATGCAAGAAGGTGTGACTAGGGCTGTATAAACAAAGTGAATAAACTCGTAAATGGCAGATACTTGAGCAGTGAGACTGCAGGGGCATGATCTATACACCAAAACTTTCATTAAGCTAAAGTTGTTTTGATGACTAGTGTGTCCCTTTAATTTCCTCTCCCCGGTAATATTCATTTAAATATTTATATTGGATTGTGATCCATTTAATGCATTGCGTACTAGGAGGACATAAATATATTTAAATCTTCCATTATCTATATATCATAAATGGGACCATGCACGGGAAAGTTAACGAAAGAGGCGTATGATGGGGGGGTAGTTATTTTGTCTATTACTGAGCCAAATCATGAATGGCTCCAAGACCAATAGATCTTTCACTTGGAGACTTGTTTCGCCTAACCTAGCTCATATCAACATTTATTGAATGGTTTTAAATTTGAAGGTAAATATACTACAGTGCACATGGATATAATGTGGGGGGGAGGGGGACGTTGCTTGGTTTTCTGTGATTTTATTTTAATTTTCCCCTTGAATTTTTACTTGAATTGTTTTAAAAAGAAAAGACACATACTTTTTATGTAAATATTCAGTTGTTTTGTATTTGCCTTGTGTGTAGTAAAACTATTTATTCCTTTACCTGTTTTACAAACACTGCATGTCACCTTAAATAACATTATTATTTCTTATAGATGAAGGGCTGCATAAAGGTTTTGAAGGAGCAACCCCCTGATAGTGTGGAAGGACTTCTAAATGCGCTCAGGTACCGTACTGTCCAAAGGCATATTGCCCTGAAATACTGTTAGCCCATACGTACTGCAAATCTGTGATATCAAAGTAACCTACTGAAAAATGTTGCCCATGACCATAAACTGAAAATTGAGTTTTATTTTAAAAATCTGAAGCACATCTTCCTGTTTTGTAAGTTGTTTGGGAATTTCAGCCTTAAAGTGGGCCTCATTGGAACATGGAGGTGTGTTTCTGTGTACATGGCTATGAAGAAGGAAAAAGCTCAATAAATTGAGGCCACAGAAATAGATTTTGATGGATTGTATGTTTACGAGACCTCATTATAAATTCTAAATAAGGTTCTCTGAACAGGAGAATTTTATATTATATTTACATCTATGGAAATTGTTTTAAAATGATAGAACAGATATTGCAAACTAGAGGTGTTGTAATCCTACGTGTTGAAATGTAATGATGAAATGATTGAGGGGGGGGTGGATGTAGGTCAATATTGTAATGAGAGGAATGGAGTATTAGGTATAGAGAGTGCAACAGCACTTAAAGGGACACTTCAGTTTTCCAAAAAGGGAGAATTTTTCCAAGTATATGGTTTTTGGAAGAAAAAAACATGGGCCTTCTCTCGTGCTTTGGCACTAACGCAAACAAGCATGAAACTTGTATATTTGCAGCTGTGCATTTCATCATTTTTGTTGCAGCTAAATTTTTGTTGCTCCCCCTCCTGATTCAGACAATGTAATTCTAAATATGGGTAAGCATGTTACATGGAAACAATATTGACAATTGGCCACTCATTGTTTGTTTAACCTTGCAGGTTTACCACAAAGCACCTGAACGATGAGTCGACTTCGAAACAGATCCGGGCTATGCTTCAGTAAAATCCTACAAGTGCAGAGGATTCTTTTACTGACCTCAGAAGATGTATATGTTTACATAATTTAATACAGATTTGATGTTAATACTTATGTGTATTTACATAGCCATTATCTTCCTGTTACTGAATATAGACCCCTATTCTTATCTTTAATCTGACTGATCTAGCACAACTTGCATTTACTGTCTGTCATTATATTTGACTTGCAAATTGAACACATTGTTCCCCTTTTGAGTTTTTTTTGTTTTGTTTTTTTGTGGTCCTTTTTTTTTTTTACTTTTAACCAAAGTGCTTAAACCATACTTTAAAATAGTGTGAATTGATTGATTGTATCTGCTGTCGTGTTATTTGTCAGTTTGTCAAACCATGTTTAGGCACTTATTCTTTAAAATGTATAATTTTATTGTTACATTTCCAGTTTTCAGTCAGTGGCATTATAGCAGAGGTGTTAAACTTTGCTCCTCCCTGCTGTTGGACTGCAATACCCAGGATTCTCTTATTTTTTTTTATTTTTATTTTTGAATTATGGGTGTTTTTGTGCTACAGCTGCCTGGCAAGGAGCAGTTGGGCACCCCCACATTTATAGTATTAAGCAGCTTGCAGAAGACCAGAGTCCTAAAATACACATTCATAAAACAAATCTAGAATCCAGAAGTTCTAGAGTTAAGCATGCAGCTCCTATCATCACAGTACTGGCATTTATTTATATTCTAGTCTTGTAATTATTATTTTATTAGATCCTGATCCTCAAGGCCAATTTCTTACCCTCCATTTTTTTTTTTTTTTTTTTTTAATAAAACAAAGGGATTTTACCCAACTGACCACTAAACGGTCAGTGTGTGTTCTTGGGACTGTTGGTGGATTTGTGGATCAATGCTGCTAATCAATTTTTTTTTTTTTTATATATATATATAAGAACGTCCTATATTTCAGAGGATGCTTTAACCTTATATAAAGTAAATTACAGATCAGTTTATCTATTTATTCTCCATATTGAAGTGTTTTTCTCTATTGCTGCCCACTTTGCATTACCAAATAAATCCAACGATAGTTCTCCCAGGTAATGCACATTCAACAAATGTGTGCATATACTGTATATATTTTTAGAATTTGGATTTGCTGCTGCTGTGTCTAGATGACCGTACTGCTGACATGTTTGAAGTGTCTATACCCTGCATCAAGCATTGCATTCTAGAAACTAGCGCATTGGCTCAAACCTGCTACTGTACTGCTGCAAATATTCAAAGATTTTCTGATCTTTTTATTGTAATTAAACTCTAGAGGCATATTGAATGCAAAATAGCAAACAAGACCTCCCAATGTTGTCCTTGTCTAAAAAAAAAAAAAAAACTATTTTATTGAAGGAAATTAGATATTTTGCTGTGAGAAGCCATGCAACACAGCTGCTTTGACCAAAACAGATTTTTTTTTTTTTTTTTCTGTCAAAGTTTCTTCATATAACAGTGTCCATGATTTTTTCAGCATATTTCTACATGCTCTTTCATACTCCTATAGGATCATGTTTGGTTGTTTTTTTTTTTTTTATTTTGTTTTTTTTTATCAGTAGAATGTATACCAAAAACCTCAAGGTCTTTACTGTCCTGCCAACTGCCTGCAAAGCTTAGATTTTTGTCATCGTTCACACCCTTTTTCCTCCCTTCTTTCGCCTACCCCACCAAAAAAAAATAGCTTTTTTTGTGATGCCAGTTGGTTAAACAAGAGATGACAATGAATTGTATTACTACTGCAATTATTAAACTACTCCTCACAGCCGTATATAGCCATGTTACGGTGTATGTTTAACCACCCAAAATGCAGATTTAAAGCACACATAAATAAAAATATTTTATGTAAGAAGTTTATAAAAAGATTAAATGTAAAATAAGAATTTGTGATAAAGCACAAAACCCTCTAACATTTGGATACTTGCTTTGCAAAGTATTGCAAGCTTCTGATCTGTAAGTGTTACACATATAATTGGGGTAACATGACTGAATCTGACGATTTTATAAAGCTAAAAATAAAGTATAGCACAATATGCACAGCCTTTCCTCTCGCCCAGGAAATGTATATTAAATGTGATGATCAAATTATGATCCAAATTGTTTTATACTGGAATTATTGCTGTAATTGTGCAGATCAAATGTTTCTGCAAATGTCTGTGCTCATTTGGAACATAAAACTGGATCTTTGCTGACTAATGCAAGAGCAATCTTTTACTGGAGCATTGCATGAAATTCCATAAATAAACTTAAGAGGGCATTCTCTAACTCTCACATACCACAGTGTTCAATTATTTTATTTTTACCAAATTCAAGATGTGGGCATATATTAAAACTGTCAAAATGTATTAAAGGGACTCTTAAAGCACAGAACAGTTTATGCTTGTTGCGTAGGTTATGGTTCAAGGAGATCCTCCGTTCTTTTCTTCCTGCACTAGTGGCTTAGAACACCAGTACTTTGGAAAAACCATTACAGTTGAAAAGCCGGACTCTCTTTCCTCTGTCAATGGAAGAATCTGCTCTCTTTATGGTGTGCTCTCTCGGCATGCAAATGTGTCCCTACTTCAGCTTTATGGCTCTCTGGCGCTTAAGCTGTGTCAATTGGCAGCTCAGGTGATGCTGTACTTAATCCTATTCATAAAACTGTGAATAGACTAATATCTGATTGGGACTACTGCTGGTAGCTGAAATCTAAACATAAACTTCTGCTGGGCAGGGTTTTTTGGAATCGTTGCAGGCCCCATAGACCAGAAAGAGAGACCTGATTGGCCCAGTTATTTCCTTGTTTGGGAGGTTCTCTGGTTGCTGCTTGCCTGCAGTTCTCTTTCTGATGTTGGCTGGGGGAATTGACACTTCTAGACAGCGGTAGCTCTTCCCAGTGTCTAGAAGTGTCACGCATAGGAAATATACTGAGACAAAGTCCCTCTTTTGTCTCCGTTTAACTTTTGACTTGGTTGGAATTTCAGTGAAGTTCCAACACAGTTAATATGAATATTTCATAAATTGTTTGGGTTGAGGGTGACAGTGCCGCTTTAAATTAGAAAAAAAAATATTTCACTTTGAATTCTTTCTTTAGTGAATAACCCTGGATGTTTCATAAGCATTTTCTTCTAAAGAAGACATGTTATTTGCATCCATGTTGATAGTATCTCCATATTTAGTACTGAGTGTACTGGATTGAATGCCTCCTTGTAACATTGTATCCTCCGAAGGGGCAGACCGAGAGCAGGGCCATCCGGAACGCATATGATGATGATATTGCAAATTACAGAGAAAGTAATTTACAATCTAGCGTTCAAAAACAAATAATTAAGAATTTCCTGATTGAGAATGACTGACTGCACTGGATCTGCTAGTTCCAGGTGCATTATATGGCGGCTTTTCATCCAATTCACTGCAGTATCTCAGATGGACATGCTGCCCATGCTTCCAGTAAAGTATGGCGCCTTTTCAGGATTTTAAAACATCTAGATACATTTGTATTTGTGATACAAAGGTGCAGTTACGATTTGACTGCAGCAGATAGTGCACTGTGACTTATTTGTCATTTTTTTTGAAAATTGCAGTATATTATCATGGTGTTACGGTTTCCTACCCTCACTCGTGCATCTTAATGTCTCTGTTGGATGTGAGTAGGTGATTGAGCAATGCACTATTAGTGCGGCAAACAGCAAGGCTAGATGTACAAATGTCGCTTGTAGTTTACATTGAATGTCCCAAATAGATTGTGGCTCAATCACCTCCCTCTGTAACATGACCTGGTGTGACATGCTCACTACCTGGATCCCAACAATGACTATGCAGGTTTGTGGTATATTATTGTGATCTTTTAGGTTACTATTCTGATCAGACTTGTCCAATATAAATAGAAGTGACTACTGCTTTAAATGTTAACATACAGCATTAACAAAGGGTGTGAATCCACTTTATTACATAATAAACAATATATTTTACTTCTTTCTAAAATATAAAAAAAATAAAAAATGTAAATGCCATTTTTCCCAAATTAAGTCAGAAATACAAAGATTAAAAAGAAATCAAATAATTTTTTCACAGTTTGATAATATTCACTAGGGTTATTGTAATGGATTTTCCTGAACTGCATTATTTTTTTTTATTTTATTTTTTTCTATTTAATTTTTGTATAAATGTTTGCGTGACTTAAGAAATAAAAAATAAAAACTTGGTACACCACTGTTAATGTTGTAGTTATTGAGAATGTTGTGGCATGTTTTGAGATCTTTAAATCCCAAATGCATCCAAGCCCAATAAAATACCGATAGAGCCACTGCCAAGAAGCTAAGTGGGGTTGATGCATAGGTAAGAGTTTGGCTAATCTTGAACAAAAATAGGTTGATCTAGAGCAGTGGTTCCCAACCCAGTCCCCCTACTAGTCCATGATTTAGGGATTACCCTGTTGTGTCTAAACTGTTTTTTAAAAAGAAAAGAAAGGAAAAAAAAAAAAACACACCTTAGACTCAACAGGGTAATCCCTAAATCCTGGACTGTTGGATTTTACTCTATGCATTTGCTGGCCATTACTTGCACAATAGGTAAAGTACTCATACATCTACCTTAATCTACATATTTACTTGAACAGAAAGCTGCAAATCATATCAGAGTTGTGGTAAAATGCTGTCCAATTTGATGGGATAGCAGTATGGCACAAAACCATGCTTTTGATCTTCTCCGTGATCGCCATTACTAGTTTGGTGACTAACTGGATTTTCCCATCAGAATAGGGGATGGTGATTTATTTATAGAACCCATACTTGATATAATCTTAATGTTTTTCTTGGTAGCTGTCCATAAAAGAGCAGATTAGTTTTAACCCGGATTATCTCCACCCACCATCTCTTAATTTGGAAGTGAGAGAAACAAAGTAAACCTGTCACATAATCTGGTGTCCCAATACTATAAATCTGTCACGTATACATCCTCTCCATATGCTATGCACAACATAAATCAGGAGTAGTAGAAGTGCTGCTCTGCGGTCCTATGCCATAAGGCCAGGCTTTTGCAACACGCCGGCCACAGCGGATCCACACTATTCTATAGCCCCACGTCTGTCCACGGTGGTAGCTATGTCAACGTGCAGGTAATGTCACGCAGAGGACGCACGCTTTTTTGGGGGTCAAAGGCAGAGTACGGCCAAATCGGATTCACAAGAGGGATATTTAAATTCACTCATTTATTCTACTCATTGCCCTATCATGGTTTCCCTTTGCTGGTTATCCGAGTGTGTGTTCCTGATCGTGTTTTTCTTTGGTTATTGACTTTGTTCTGGTATCCCTGACTATTGGCTATTCCTTGCAACTGTGTTTCGTTCTGTGTTCCTGACCTCGGCTAGTATTTTGACTATATTCTCTGGTACATTAAGGGGACACTCTGGGCACCCAGACCACTTCTGCCCATTGGAGTGGTCTGGGTGCCAACTGCCACTATTAACCCTGCAAGTGTAATTATTGCAGTTTTTTTATAAACTGCAATAATTACCTTGCAGGGTTAACTCCACCTCTAGTAGCTGTCTACTACACAGCCACTAGAGGGCACTTCCTGGTTTCTAGAGCGTCGCTGGACGTCCTCACATTATGTGAGGACCTCCAGCGTCGCTCATTTCCCCATAGGAAAGCATTGAAATGCATTTTCCATGCTTTCCTATGTGGAGCACTAATGCGCAGCATTGCTGTGCATGCGCATTGGGTCTCCCCGGCCGGTGGGCGAGATCAGTCTCGCCCACAGGCCGACGCAATGCAGAGGAGGAGCGGCGACGTGGGACATCGTCCCTGCCTCAGGTAAGTTACTGAAGGGGTTTTCACCCCTTCAGCAACCGGGGATTGGGGGGTGGGAGGGAGAGGGGACCTGCAGTGCCAGGAAAACTGATTGTTTTCCTGGCACTGGAGTTTCCCTTTAAGTTTGGCCATTCTGGTTAGACATCTCTCAATGTACTTATGATTACAGAAAATGAATAATTTTGCCTGCTGCAAGAATTTTCATGAAGTGAATACAAATAAATTCTGGTGTACAAGTGCTTAAAGAGACAAATCATTTTTTTTATTTTTTTTTTAACCAGCAAACAACCACTTGTAAACAAATATACAAACCAAAATAGAGGAAAAAAAACAAACACACCAAAGCTTAGAGTGCATTAATAAAAGATCTGAAAAGCTTTATAAAGGCAAAATAATCCTGAACTGGTTCAAGATATCAAAAGCAATGACAAGTTGCAGTGGAAAACCCTAGGCAGTACCAAGAACAAAGTGATTGAACAATTCATTGTATGTCACCTATTCCAATTGCATTCTAAAAACTCATTACACAAGGCTATGTTGTAATTTCTGGAAAAAAAAATTGTAAACTTCACTTTTTAGGTAATTTAATACTAGCTGTTTAGAAGAAGAAGAAAAATCAATAGGTAAATGGGGAAAAAATGGTGCAAAAACAGAAGCAGATTTTATAATGTGCGTTACCCCTGATAAACTCAATAATGCATCCCAAATGTTCTCTTTGGGCCAGAGCCAGGTTGGCTGAATTGCAGTTTGTATGCTAGTTTTAATTCTAATGCCTAAGAAACTTGACATCATGTTTTAAGAATTCTGTCCCCCGGTAAGGCTGTATTCAGTTATTTGTAGACTAAAATTCATCTTAATATCAATTCATATAAAACATGTGTTGCCACAAAAGTGGCTAAGAATCAAATCTGTGAAGGTAAAACAAGAAGGATTTGGAGGAGGAAACCATTTTTTCCTTCTTTAATCAAATAAATTGTCCTTTGAGGTCCCTACTGTTTGAAATTCTAGACTCCAAGAGCCTAGTGTCCAGCATGCTTATGTCTTCTATAGCCCCCCCCCATACATAGAAAATGAAAATGTAATTGTTATTTGTAATAAAGGGACAATAAAGCTTTTACTCCATTACATTTGGGATTATGCTAGAAGACACGTTAAAGCCAATATATTTGTATAATTCCCCTTTAAATATAAACAAAACCCTATATATTTGGGATAAAGATTTCTCGGTTACTAATACATTATCAATGTGAGGTCCAATTAAAACAATTTCTATGGAAGTCTGCCTGTCACATTTGGAAAGACAAATAAACTGTTACTTGTCAGATAGCAGTTGGCCTATATATCATTTTGGAACACTGGTAAGATCAAATAGCTGGACCCTGGCCGGTATGGTAATGGTATGCTGTCATTTTTTAATTATTATGTAACAATTCACTATGGTAACATGGATGGTTATGAGATGTATAAACTAAACACTTAATTGTAGTCAATTGATAACCAAACTACACAATTTCATGCAGAACTGTGACTAGCAATGCTGGTGAATTTTTATAAATCTGATATTTTTGCCTAAATGTTGCTATTTGGTATTCAATAAACTTGTGCACAAGTCCCTTTCAGCTGCGTTGAACGAATCAAATGCCTGTAAATCTATGTACAAACAAATCGCTTTGTCAGACATATCCTAAACAAATCAATTCTTTCATCCGTAGACGAGCATTTGATTTGTTCAACTGAGCTGAAATGGAAATGTTCACGAGTCTAGTTTTATCAATTCGCTACAGTTTGGTGTTTTATGAATAAGCCCTATACGTTCATTTGTGAAACTGCTGACAACACAACAGGAAAAATAGATGGAACAATTGAGTTGAGAACTTTTCCAAACTGCTAATTGGCTTCATTTTTACAATCCTCTTGACAATTCTTGTCAAGTCACTAATAAGCACATGAAAGGGGTGTGCTAAGGATACCTGGATACCAGCATAACCCTACCAGCACTGTGAGTTTGGGTTAGTTATATTTAACAAAATTAAAAATGTAGGTCATTGCAGTGTTACCCGCTACATTGTGAATTCAATGTGATTTTTTATTTTATATAAATCTTGTACTTTATTGAAGTTCTTTTGCACATGTAAACCAAGATAAGTATGGCAAGAATATTAACAGAAATTAAAACTTATTGAGAAAAAAAAAATAATTGGAATAGTGGACATGGTCAGTAGTAGAAAGACCATAACAAAATGTGGCATATGGAGTGTCACCAACATAGTTGGTAGAAACCAAGTTATGTGTGCGTCCGGTTATTCTTGTCCATTTCAGTTCCATATCTAAAACTCCAGGTTTAAATTTACTCCAAGGATCCCATATCCAGTCTACTCTGGATTTTTGAGCCATAATTAATACTGACATTAATAAGATTATACTGTTCGAAGCATACCCTGGAGTTGGCCCTCCATCGCACATAATGTACTTTTCCAATGGAAAGCAAGGAGGTGCTTTGGAGTCAATAGTACAGGACACTAGAGCTTTATACTCAAATGGGAGTGTGTCTGGCAAATCAAGCCACAGATACACTGATGGAGCTCAGGGAACATTCTGTAAGCCCAGTCAAGCCAGAAGCATGGAGACCATGTCCAAAAGGACTGGCGTTTTTGCTTCTTCAACCAGATATGGAACATATTGCCTTTGGAGGTTTGGCACCTGCAGCAGATAGGTGGAATTGAGGCATAGGCTCTATGAAGCTGGTTTGTGATCGAGTACCATCTATAAATCATTTTGCAATAAACTTCTAACAGATTGTAACAATTCAGAAATCCTTTCAAATGTTCTGGGGATAGACTAACAGATGCCTCCTTCTCCCACTGTAGCATAAATTTAAGTATTATGTCCACCTGAGGACATAAGAGAAGTGAGTCTATAACACAGGGAGAGAGATTTTGGTTTAAATGCAGAGTCCCTACAAATTTCTTTTTTAAAATCTATGCCTTCATTGCCAGAATGGTTCAATTCCCTGGCAGTTCGAGCATGTTTAATAAGGGCACTCTTCATTTGGAGAGTCAGGAATATAGATTTTGAAGTTAAAGGACCACTATAGTACCAGGAAAACATACTCGTTTTCCTGGCACTATAGTGCCCTGAGGGTGCCCCCACCCTCAGGGTCCCCCTCCCGCCCGGCTCTGGAAAGGGGAAAAGGGGTTAAACTTACCTTTTTCCAGCGCTGGGCGGAGAGCTCTCCTCCTCCGATCCTCCTTCTCTCCTCCCTGTCGGCTGAATGCGCACGCGCGGCAAGAGCTGCGCCGCATTCA